GTGATTGCACTTCTGCGAGACATGGCTAAGAGCTCTCCACCGGCTTCCGTTTTCTTCCCACTCGAGTGTCCATCCGGTTCCGCTTTCTAAACTCAAACTCAACCCTATTTTACAATCCCCTCCCTTTGACGCACTTGAGACATTTGAAAAGTTTCACCTTTTGGTAGAAGTTCGCTCTGCTTTTAAATTGCGCGCTTAACAAGTTTGTTTCCTGCCTTCATTGCTTTCCATCCTTTATTTTTTGCCACGCTTTGCATTGTTATTCCTTTAAGCTATGCCTTCTACGTTTATGTGTGTTTTTTTTTTTTTTTTTACGGATAATAAACGACGAAAAGTTTCAAATGGCGGAACATGTTTAAAATGCCTGACGTGCACAGCAGTCCGCCTTTCCGCCAGTTATTTGAAGGATTCCCCCTTCATTTTCTCCATTTTCCTGCACACACGTGCATGGGCAAATGCAAACAGCAACGAAAACAGACTGCGACAGGCAACAAGCTCTCGCCCACATTCACCCAGCCGCCCCTCAGGACCCCAACTCAACCCCTTCTTTGTTGTTGTTGATAAACAGCTTGCATGTTGGGCACCTGAGAATGGTTGCCAAAAATAAAAACACCAAACGGAAAGCAGAAAATGAGAATGGAAATGAAAAACGAGAAGGCAAAGCGTTGTTTTGGGGGATATAAACTACAGCTGGATACCCTTTAATCCTAAATGATACTATACGTATAGGTTATTTTTCATTTCATTTCTAAAAATTACGTATACGCAATGTATAACTTGAAGCAGGGCTGACCAAGCTGAGCACTTTGGGGAACTCCCTTTAACTCTGCTTTAAGCTGCTTGTTTCTAATTATTTTTCTTTTTTTTTTTATTATATTTATTTTAAGTAATTTCTAAAAATTACACATACGCAGGGTATAACTTGGATAAGGTATAAGGATTAATTAATTAATTTTATTTTTTTAATTTTTATTGCTTACTTTGTACTTCTTGCTACAAGAACCTCTATTTTACTAAATAATTTTCAATATACATACTCCGTATATACCCTTAGTTAGAGTATTAAAAGCAGCAAATCACGAAAGCAGATCTGAACCAGAACCAGAAACTCACACAAATTGTGCACGCAACTGGCCAAGGTCACACAGGGCAGTTGTTGGTTAGTTCAACTATCCGTCGTCCGTGAGTTCTTCAGGCAAAGGATTTGCATAATTCGACTCTGCGGCGGCCATGATTCCCGATGCGCCTCCCCCCCCACACCCCGTCTGGCGATTGATGGCCCTCCGGATCCGGATCCGGCACCAAAGTAGAGTCCGAACTGCAATTCCAGAGGCAAGTAGCAGCCTCAAGGCAAAGGAAAGGTGAAAATTCCTTACCAGAGAAAGCACGAAATTCAATACTTGGATAGTTGGCATTAAAACCAATATTGGTTTAGAAATTGTACAAGAAATATGCAAATACATGCAATACATACCTCTTATATAGATACAAAATTTCATAAAATATATTTCGATATGTTTACAGATATTTCTCATAAGAAAGAAAAGTTATAGGAATTTTGAAATATTTGTATATTCATTTATTAATTAACATATTTATTAATTTATTTTAAGAGACTCAAATAGTAATGAATATTTCTTGGAAATTTTAAAATATTTATTTGTTAATTAATTAATTTATTATTATTCATTTTTTATTATGTATTTTTTTATATTAATTCTATAAATAATTTATTTATAAATATATTTATACATATATTATTATTTATTAATATATTTATTAATTTATTTTAAATTATTATTTATTTATTATGCTTTTTTTTATGGCATACTTTCTAGCAGTGCACATACATATACTTGCATTCATTCATATTCACTTTACCAACGTTTGTCAGTCGAATGTCGTTAGTGACGTCAGCATTGAATCGAGTTTCGCATTCACCTCGCCCCCACTGCTAGCGGCGCCGTTCGTTCGTTCGTTTGATGGCGGCGTTGATTGAATCATGTTAACAGGCCACCCCTTGAACCTCCAAAAACGCCGCGAAATCCCCTGAAACCCCAAAGCACCCTGAAGCCACTCAACCCACTAAATCCCAAAACAAACTCCCCCAAAAATCAGCTTTATCAATGCTGTTTTGCAAAAACAGGATTTTTAAGTCGCATAGAGTTTCCAGATTTGTGGGAACGCTTTAATTATATTCTGCATCTAGAAATCTATATAAATAAACAAATATAAATCTTTATAAATCTATATAATCTATAAAGAGACACAATGTCGTACCTCCTAAACTCACCGCCCTTTTCTGCGCTTCTCAATCGATCTAGCTAAGGGTCAATAGGGGGTCTGCAGTGGGTCGCTAGATGCGGCTCCTCTTCAGTTGCCTGATTAACTTGCAGATGTATGTATGAGCAGCTGGTGGGCAAATGCGGCAACCAATTGGGTGGCTGACTGGGGCGGCAAGTGCACTCCCTCAGTTCAAGGCTGTGTGTGCGTTTGCATGCCTTAAATTTCCTTTACCAGCTCACATTAATTCATAAATTTCAGCATGCCGTTGTTGACGCTGCTAAAAATAGTCCGAAAGGGGAGGGAAATGGTGGGGAGAGGGGACTGACTGCGACGGCGACTGTGGCTGAGACTGAGGCTGAGTTTGCCTTGACCGGCACATACGCACACAGCCACAAACGTAGTCATAGTCACTCGGCTCTCCACATGTCAGAGACTCTTGGATACTCACATGCGGAAGACAAAGTTCCACTTCGATTTGCCGACTTTGCATTGAACTTCAGCAGTCGCCGTTGCCATTTCCGTTTCCGTTTCAGTTTTAGTTTCTTCCCTTGGCCAAGGTTTCGGCTTTTGGCTTTGGCTTCACTAGCGACTTATGCAATCCACCTGAAAATGCGGAAGTGGGTGAGACTTACGTTGTATGTACATATATACATATAAATATATATATATATATATATATATACATATACTCGCATCCTGTAAATAGGTCGCTGCAGCAGAGCCAGCGACTCATCGACATCGTCGGCATCTAGAAAGGAGGCGACAATGACGTCACGCGCCGCATCAGGCCGTGCCGTGCCGCTGACCTATATATGTATACACACACATATAGCCGCATCACCGCAGGCTGCCGCAAGTGCAACAGAGACAGGGAGAGCATAAATTCCACACTGACATTTACATACAGCGAAAAAAAAATACAACAACAAATTGTTGTACATGCGACAGCCATATGACAAAGGGGGATATGCAGATGCAAAGAGGAAGAGAAGAAGTAAGAGAAGAGAGGAGAGAGAACAGCGAATATAAAAGACAAAGAAGGGGGAGAAGAGTATAGGCTAGTAATGCACCTGGCCAAACACTGTTTGTTGACATTTAGTTGGGAGTTTTCTCTTTTCTCTTTCTTTCTCTCTTGCCTGGCCGGCCTTTTGCTGACTACTTCTGACGTCACAGCTAGGAAACACAAAAGGGGGATTTATTTTGATGTATAGCTTAGATAAAAATTATTTTATATTTGTGATAAAGGTATCAGAATAATTAAAATAGTCAATTCATTGAAAATACTTTTCGTCAACAGCTAGAACCAATTGAGAATTATAAAGGAAAGCAACATTTTATGGCTCTAGTTCATACTTTTCACCTCATTTTGATATACAATTTAGATATTTATAGATCATTTAGATATTAAATAAATTAATACATTTTCAGTCAAACAAATACTTTATCTTTGATAAATCCCTGAAAGCAGTGTCTCTCTCCTTACAAAAAAGACATTTTCAATTACCATATTTTATGGTGGATATACATAACTCTTTTTAATTTAATTTATAGTACGATGTTATTAGTATATACCAAGCAGCAGCAGCAAGATGGAGTAGCAGCCCGGAAAAGATTTATGCCGACAAACAATTTGTCCGAACAGGCAGTGGCCATTATGGCAGTCCCCCACCCAGAATGTGGCAGAATGTCTGAGGGGGGCTGCGCGATGGGTGGCAGGGTGTAGGTGGGGATGTGGGCAGTGCACTTACACGCTTAATTAAATGCCACGGCACGGCGCCAAAAAGCAGGCAACCTGCCATGCAACAACGCCTCGAATATCGCATCCAAAAAATTGCCAGAAGCAGCAGCAACAGCAGTTGGCTGGCAGCAACAATTGCACATTGTCAGCAACATCAGCGATAGGGGCGGAAAATGTTGGGCAAGCTGCCAGCTCCCACACTTTGGGCCACTCAGCAGGGGGAAGGACTTTTCGGGTTGCAGTCTCTTTTATATGCGATTGTAATACAATTTCAATTACAAGCGTAAACATAAGTATATTGCCAGCGTGTGGTGGGCGTGTGCAATGAATTTAATTTGAGGCAAGGCGAGGCCTAAGCTCAAAGGATACCATACCATTCCGAATTGCAATTTGAGAATTCAAGAAAATCCACCGCAAATATGCAATATGCATGAATGGCCATTGAATATTCAATGGCTGACGAGCATCTGGAAATTGATTCGAGCCGTAAAAGTAATTAAAGACCAAGCAAGCCACTGGAGAGCTTAAAGATCGAAAGCGCTGAATAATGGAGTAATAACGATGTGGTTTTTAGTTAAAAAATAGGAAAAAGAATTTAGAATAAAAATAAATCAGAGGAAGTTAAGCAATAGGTCAAGACAAGTCAAGACGAGTCAAGTCGAGTCAAGTAATTGCTGTTTAATTATGAAAAGCAGACAGGCTTTAGGCTTAAAACTATAAACTATTAATTATATACTACATAATATCTATTTTAAACCTAAATTTGATTTTAATTTTCGATATCTTCTAAGTTAGTAAATATTTACCTTTAAGATCCCCTGAAACCTATATGAAAAAGTAAGTTTTAATAGTTTCTATAAACGAATATATAAACAATAATAATACATAATATTAATATATATATTACAAACCTTGATATTCAAATTATTCATATCTTATTATTATATTATAAATTTCCAACCTTTATCTTTAAAAGGTCTTTGCCCAAATTGAGCAGTCAAGACGAAGAAGGGGGGGCTGGTCATGGCTTTGGTGGCGGACCGCAACACTTTGAACCCATTCCTCACGATCATGATTTCTGCGAAAGAGTCGTTATAAATGTGAGTACTCTATAACCATAATAACCATATAATATAATAACCAAAAAATTTCAGGTAAGCGGACTAAGGTTTGAGACCCAACTACGTACGCTAAATCAATTCCCGGATACGCTGCTTGGGGATCCAGCTCGGAGATTACGGTACTTTGACCCGCTTAGAAATGAATATTTTTTTGACCGTAGTCGACCGAGCTTCGATGCGATTTTATACTATTATCAGAGTGGTGAGCATCCTTTAAAAGTCCCCTCCTTTTTCTATATAGATATCTCTGAATGTGTGCAGCCCCCATTGCTAATGTCTCTCTATTTCTCTTTATCCTTATTCTCGCCGTACAACAACAACAACTTATTCACCCTTTTCACCCTAAAACCCACACCCACAACCACAACCACACCCACACACACTCATATTATTCATCCACAGGTGGCCGACTACGGAGACCGGTCAATGTCCCTTTAGACGTATTTAGTGAAGAAATAAAATTTTATGAATTAGGTGATCAAGCAATTAATAAATTCAGGTAAGCCCATGTGTTGCCCACTAGAAATTTCACTAACACTTTCTAAACAAAAACGAAAAAAATATATATATATAACAAAAGCCTTAAAACAAAACAAAAACAAACCCTCAAAAACAGAAAAACTATAACAAACAAGAGAGGACAACAAATTGGTTCGGTTTGTTCTATATTGGTAGCACGGCAAATTTATTGAATCAGTGTAATGAGGCATGCAACACGGCAAACAGACCAAAGCACCCAACCAGACATCGAAATATAGATCTAGACCAGGCTCACAGAAAATGTATATGTACATTGCGTTGGCTGGAAATGCGTATAAAAAAGGAAAAGTCACCTTTTTAATCTATGGTAAAAAATTCTGATAAGAGCAACTCTTTCAAACAAAATTGTATAATATTTGAAATCAAACAAATAGATTCTGTTTGTCTTTATATTAGTTACATATAATATAGTATTACTATATATTTTTATTTTAGTATTAGTAAAACAAAACCTGGTACAACATACATTTTTTTATGCTTTTGAAGACTTACCCCGCCATAACTTCCATGCTTTTACCATAAACTGCAGCATTTCCAGCTACTGCAAAGTAGTAGAAATTAAAAAAAAAAAATAATGTATTTTGACTGAGACCTACTTAATCAAAAATTTCGACGGGACTTTGGACCAAAGTCAATTTAAGAAAGCAAGTGAATGTTAATCACTTGACCACCAGCTTAAAATTTTGTTGATACGACGCGGGGGGCAGTGTGGCCGGGACCGTGGAGCGAAGAAGCCCAGAGGAGGCAGCACGATGGACTGCCCATATCGAACAGGAAAGGATACTCCAGCGGAGTGCAGTCAAAACTCTTGTTCCCTTTTTTTTACAACTTCCAGACACTGCTTAGCTGCGAAACGATATTAGCATTTTGTTTGTTTGTCGAAGCGTCGCTTTTTGTTATACATTTTGTTCACTTTGCTTAGCTTTCTGTTAGAGCTTCTTGCCTTGCTTTCGATTAGACAGCGAACCAATAATAAATCCAATCTAAACCCAACTAAGGATAAACAACTACCAAAAAAATTGCCACAACATTTACAAACAAATACACCAAGACTCACACAAAAACAACAAACATTAATATAGAACTGACATTCTTGTGAATATCTTCTAACGAAAGATCATTATTTTTTCTATTTTTTCAGAGAGGATGAAGGCTTTATTAAAGAGGAAGAAAGACCATTACCGGATAATGAGAAGCAGAGAAAAGTCTGGCTGCTCTTCGAGTATCCAGAGAGTTCGCAAGCCGCCAGAGTTGTAGCCATAATTAGTGTATTTGTTATATTGCTATCAATTGTTATATTTTGTCTAGAAACATTACCCGAATTTAAGCATTACAAGGTGCGTACGAATCAAGCTGAAGGATACATCGCCAAAAAGGATACATCTCTCTGCTTTTATCTCTCTTCCATTTTGTATTTTTCTTGTTTCAACTTCACTTCAGGTGTTCAATACAACAACAAATGGCACAAAAATCGAGGAAGACGAGGTGCCTGACATCACAGATCCTTTCTTCCTTATAGAAACGTTATGTATTATTTGGTTTACATTTGAACTAACTGTCAGGTATGCCAAGCACTTCCATATCAAACTAAATATGCGTACACCTAGTCATAAGCTAAGCGAACGAAAGAGAAATATTAGTTTGAACTCGATCCGATTATTCGAATACAATATCTCTCTATCTCCATCTGAAGAGCTGCTCTTTCTCTTAAATGAAAATCTATTTGAGTTATATTTTAGTTAAACTTTTTATTTTATATTTGTAGTTATAGTCTTGCAGATTTTTCACCCTATAAAGTATATATATATTCTTAAACAGTTGAGTGTATTTAATCACTTGATACTTATCTCTGTCTGTTTGTAGTTTCTTGGTTTTAAACATGAAACTCATCCATTAGCTGCCTTCACAGCAATCGAAAAATTGAGATTTAGCCATAAAAAATTTGGAAAATTAAGGGATAAACTGATCTTAGAAGTGTTAAAGAAACTATTAAATTATGGATAAAACTGCAAGCGTATAAAACATCGGCTTACCGAAGTTAGTTTTCTTTATGATTTTAATCACAATTATATTCTTTTAAATTTAATTTAAATATTTATTAATTTATTTATCAATTTTCTCTTATTTTTATATAATTATATATTTCTCTATCTTTCCTTTGGCTTTGGTTCCCATATTCATGGTTTTAATTCAAACCCAAATCTCGTTTTTTCTCTCTCTTTCTCTCTCTCTCTCTCTCCATTCTATCTATCTCTCTCTGACATCTCACGTTCTGTCTCGCTCTCGGTTTCTCTATCGCGCTGTCTGTGTGAATCTTTAAACCAAACCAATCGCTGGTCGTTGTATCGATTTTGTGTGTGTTCAGGTTCCTCGCATGTCCGAACAAATTAAATTTCTGCAGGGATGTCATGAATGTTATCGACATAATCGCCATCATTCCGTACTTTATAACACTAGCGACTGTCGTTGCCGAAGAGGAGGATACGTTAAATCTTCCAAAAGCGCCAGTCAGTCCACAGGTATGAGATTTCTGTTTGCCCAATACAAAAAAAAAATAAATAAAACATCTATACACAACTCACACTAAGAGTATCAATATATAACACCCACACACGCACACACACATGCATATACAGTTGAAGCAATTAAAGAATTAAGTGTTGCCATCATCATTTATGAGTTGCCTGACATGCTACAAGGGGTTGCCTGCTCTCCCCACAAAAAAAAACAAATTACAAAAAAAAGTTCATAACTTTCAGTCAAACTTTTAATTTCGATTTAATCTACAACCTCCCGCAATTCCCTTATAATTCCCAACTCCCCGTTCAGTTTGTTATCGATAACACCTCGCCGGGTTATGTTCATTGTTGTATATTATCGAATACTAACTAATTCAAGCCACACATCCGCTTAATCACCTTCTATATACACATCGCATCGAGCTATGTAAATGAACATCCATCCATATATATATATAAATATATATATATATATATAAACGAAACACACCAAAAAACATATATATATATTGCATTGCCACATATAATATATATATATATATATATATTTCGATAAAATTTTTAGGACAAGTCATCGAATCAGGCTATGTCCTTGGCAATATTACGAGTGATACGATTAGTTCGAGTATTTCGAATATTTAAGTTATCTAGGCATTCGAAGGGTTTACAAATATTAGGACGAACTCTGAAAGCCTCAATGCGGGAATTAGGTTTACTTATATTTTTCTTATTTATAGGTAAGTTCCAAAAAGTAAAAAACAAAAAAAAAAACACGTATTACATTTTCTTATTAATTTACAAGATTTATTAAAAAAAAAAAAAAAAAAAAAAACAAAACAAAAGAGAAATACTGCAAAACGACTGCGACCTTCAAGACAGACTTACAACTCCCCCTTGATACCCTATCTCTACCCCTGAGTCTCTGTCTCTAACCACTTCTCTACACGTACTATATATATCTCGACGATCGCGAATTAAAACAACCACAAAAAATACATATATATCTCTATCTATGCTTACGTCTGTCTCAAGCCAGCACATTTATGTTAACTGCTCATCACAAAAAAAAAAACCAAAACCAAACCCTCTACTTACACCCCTCATCGGCAAATAAAATATACAATAAAAAACAGCAACAAAACCTATACTTAATATTATATATATTCAGAAGCTCTATAAGAACCAAACCAGACAACAACAACAAAAACAGCCACTAAAAGATACTACAAAAAAGAAACCGCAAGGTATTATGCTTTTTAAGAACTTATCATTTCGGAACACAAAACCCCCAGACCTAGGACTAAGCTATATACATACCAGATAATGGATACCGGATACCAGTATCCTTATATAGATAGATAGATACCCCTGCGTCCCCCGTCCCCCCGCCATGTCCTTTGACCATCCAAAAACTCAACGAAACAAATGGAAGAATACTTAACGCAACAGCTCCAAATAGAGATTAGACCTAAAAACATCAAGCTAAACTAAAGTAAACTAAAGTAACGTAAACTAGTCTTACTATATATAGTCATACATACACTCACACACGAGCACACCACCCAAACACACACACAAGCTAAATAAATTAGAGGGGCCTGCGACTCGTAGAGCGTGTATATCCGTATTATCCATAGGTGTACTCGTATAACTCACCCATTACGTATCTCTAACTTATTTAGTGTCGTCTAATCCTAGAGCTAAGTAGGTACGAGCTACGAGTTTATAGATCTCCCGATCTCCTGATAAACCCCAAAACAAAAAAAAACAGAAGCTCTATAAGTATAATTCACTTTGGATACGTTCCGTTGAGTTCCCTCTTTTATTTGCGTTTTGTATTACGAATATCAATTTGAATTTGAGTTTTGTTTTGGCTAGATTTTTTTGAATAAAAACCAGCAGCAAATGTCTCTCTCTCAGTGTACTCGAATTTTAGTCTATTACTCCTGATATACTCTGACAAAGTGCGGACGGCGGGCTGTGGAGATGATATAATGCCATAGAAATAGGATCGATTGGATCCCAAAAATAGATAGATTCTCCCAGCTGCCGGGCTCAAGTCGTTGCCAATTTTAAGGCCCTCATGCAGTTTTTATACATATATTTTTTTTATTTAGCGTAACTCTAACTTTATCCCCCTCCCCCCCCCAATCCTTTGTCCTAAAAATGCGTGGAAAATGCCTTAAAATTGGCAAACTTCTTGGCATACTTGTTTGTCCTACCAACCACAAAAATAAAAAGATAAATAATAACAAATACAAAATAAAACTAGAAATGGTGATCGATATATTTTCCAAACCCTATATATATATACATACAGAAAAGATCAAGCCACAGAGATGAAAAACCATCTGTATCAATAATAAATCAAATTAAATATATTTTGTATTGTTGTTTATGTTTCTATCACATTCAAAGTTGTTTCGTAAACCGTAATCAGTAATCAGTAATCAGTAATCTGTATACAATAATCCGTAAACCGTTTCAGTAATCCGTAAACCGTACTCTCTCTCTCTCTCTCATCATCAACGTTGTCGTTTCGATGTCCATGTCCACAGATTGTGCCGTGGTTTGAATTTTGCTTTTAGTTCTATAGTTTTTAGCTTCTAGTTTCTAATTTCTAGTTGGTAATTTTTAGCATATAGTTTGTTGTTGTACCCGTTGACCGATTAACGTATTAACTAACCAATACCTAAGTATATCATATGTATAATCTATATAGTGTACCATATCTAAACATGAACACATTTATATCAATATATCGTTCACATTGAATCTATATAGTGTATATAACGAACCGTTTTGTTCAGCTTTGTCTTTGTCTGTGTCTGTTCCATTTGATTCCGTTTCGTTCCGTTGTCAAAGCTATGACCTCCGTTTCCCTTTGTCCTTGTGTAGCTTATAGTTTTGATATATTGATATATCTGTATATAAATCTATGGATATGACCACTTACTTACCTACTACTACTAATACTACTACTACTTATGAACCGATATCGTATGTATATTGTATTGTACAGAATACCTAGCTAGTTTCATGTTTAACTCCAATCAAATCCAAAAAAAATACTCTATAAATAAATACTCTTCTGTATAGCTAGTTGCCACCGATCAAGTGCCCTAATACTAACCACCACACATACACTATCTATATATCTATCTTACTCTCTCTTACACTAAAACTCAGGCTCACACACACACGCACCTATAAAAGCGCAGAGATCTAGACAATGGTACTTTGAAATGTTCCAATTCCAATGTCTCTGCCCTTCTTGCTTCGGTTTTGGTTCGAGGAACAAACATACCAATTTTTGTTAACGCCTTTGTAATATTTTGCTAACTATTTGTGTGACACCCACATGTACACACACACACACACACACACCTAAAATACAAACAAAATACATCTACTAATACATACAAGACCAGCAAAAAAAAAATGTACCTTAAACATTTTTGAAATTCATTATACATATATATAGTTTTCTTTTACGTGCACCAAATTCAAATTCTAAATAACGAAAATTTACTAATTCATTATCATAGTCTTATGTATATCTTGTAGTTGTTTTAAAAAAAAAAAAAGACTTAAGGTGATTATGCCGCATTGAAATCTGACGGGGCTCAGATATCTATTCCCACGACCCAACCAAAACCCAAAAAAAAAAAAAGAAAAAAAAATCAAACAAAAATATTTAGCAAACATAAAAATAAGAAAAAATACAACAAAATTCCCAAGCAGAAAATAACAATTAATTGCACTTTAATAACGATTGATCTCTGTTCCGATCCGTTTCCACCGATCCACTACGATCGGATCCCCCGATTCAGGCGTGGTCCTGTTCTCGTCGGCGGTTTATTTCGCGGAGGCTGGCAGCGACAGTTCCTTTTTCAAGTCGATACCGGACGGCTTCTGGTGGGCTGTGGTGACCATGACGACGGTGGGATATGGTGATATGAGGTACAAACCATGTTTCAATATCCGTTCCAGTTCCACACGTTCCTTCCATGTTCACAACTGTGTGGTGCCTCATATCCTTCATCTTGTAAATGTTATATCTCTCCCTATGTCTCTTTCTCACTTTCTCTAACTCTCTCTCTCTCTCTCTTTCTCTGTATCTATCTTTCCTTTTCTCTGTTTTGTAACTGAGTGTTGTACAGTCCCTCCCATTCTCACCCGTCTCAGCTATATATATCTTTCTATAGCGCTATGTGTGTGGTGTCCTTGTAATGTAATGCCAAATGTAAATACAATAATGAAGGGCTGACGTCGTCTCGGTGGTTCCACTGCCACGCGTTCCGCTACAGCTGCAAGTCGCGTGGCGCATTTGTATAGTTGTGAAAAAAGGAAGAATGAGAACACCGTTTTATCCTTGTAAATTGAACCATGTGAATACGAATAGGCTAAGCAAGCTATAGATGTTGTGGTTCCTTTGTTGTGATCGCTCGCTTTTATTGACCTTATTCCTTGCTTCCCCTCCATTTCCTGGTACTCCTCCTATTTTATTCCTTTTTTTTTTTTTTTTTTCTTTTGTTGTCTCATTTTCATTTACGTTCCATTCCCCGTTCCTTGAGTGTTAATCCCACTTCTTGGCATGCCTCTCGCTCCGGATCTGTCTCCCATTCCTTATTCTTTTTCTTGTTACGTTTTCATCTGATGTTCGTTTCGTTCGTCCTCAGTATGTTTCCCATACATCCCCCCTTAGTATGTTCCGCATCCCACCGATTCCCCGACGAGGAATAACGTCTAATATCGTTCTCATGGCATTCGTTCCATTATCCACTGTCGTTCTACCGCAAAGATATAACCATATTTCTTGGCCCCATTGCAGTGGTAAGCAGATAGTTGCTCCTCTGATATTTCCTAGATTTAATTTTACGAAGAGACCCGATTTTCTGCTTGGGAATGCCGCCGGATTGTGGTGAAGTCGATCCAACTCACACGTGAATATATCAGAACTCTTTTAATTTGAACCGAAACAGAAACAGAAAGCCCACCACGGTTGCCAACTTATCTTGCGGCACAAGCCGAAGAAGAATGGTGACAATGGAACAGACCCAAAATGGATTTTCGGAAAACACAATAAAACCCTGAAACCACAGACACCTTGACAAGCTTCTGACGCATCCAGACTCTAGACCCGAGCTACTCGACATACCTCAAAATAAAAACACTCTTTGGTTAAATGTTATTTTAAAAAAAATAATAATAATAATACCAAAAAAAAAAAAAAAAAAAAAGAATATAATACCAATGCAAAGCAATGTTTCTCCCATCAATTTTTTTAGGCGTCGTACTCTTCTCATCGGCGGTTTATTTTGCGGAAGCTGGAAGCGAAAATTCCTTCTTCAAGTCCATACCCGATGCATTTTGGTGGGCGGTCGTTACCATGACCACCGTTGGATATGGTGACATGACGTATGCAAATCTATACAATTTTAACTCTTATGATTACGTTTACGATAACTCCAGTTTTGATTTATTGTTTCGATTCCGTTCCCTGTTCTGTTTCCCCTTTTTCGTTTCGTGTCGTTCCGTTATCGTTTCAATTCCGCCTTGGCGGCGCCGCTCTTGCGGCGTTCCGTTCCTTCTCTGTTCCACCTGTATGTGTTTTGTTTCTAATTTTCATTTCCAACCGTTCCGTTTGCGTTCTCTGCGTTATGTGTGATTAAAGCTATTAAGTCCCTAATATTAAAGCCCGCCCCCACCGCTAAACCCAACTAAAAGCTATCTATCGAATTGTATCCAAACCTAACTGTACTTATTGTTAACCCCCTTTGAGTTCGTATCTCCCGATTCTAATATGCTAAATACCAAAAACAAAAAAATTAACAAAAACAAGAAACCTAACTGTTGTTGTCTCTTACTTTAACTCGCTGAGCTGTTTGTTTGTATCCGTATTTGTCCTACGGACTTCTATTTGTATTTGTCTTTGTCTCGGTATTTGTAACTTATCTTTGCTAAATTCGTTTGCCATAATTCTTGTGTTCCATTCCGTTTTATTTCGTATACTTTGGGCTCGTTTGCGTTCCTATTTGGTTTCCATTCTATTCTCAATTAGTTTCAGCTGGCATCGCTCTTTCTTTTTTGCTCGCACTAGATTTCACCCTATCTCTATCACGCTCTCTCGTGTGTTCCGTTTCCATCTCATAGTGTTTCTTCGACTTTAATTCTTTGTTTTAACGCCAAGTTCTTTTGCTTTTTATTTTCTTATCGCAAATTACCTATGTAACGTTGTGTCGTTGTTTAGTTCCCAAAAAAAAAAAAAAAAAAAAACGAAAGATAAAAACCAAAATCGACAAAAGAGAAGAAAAAAAGAAACTGAAATATTCTCGAAAAATACCAAAAACAAGTTCATCACTTCAACTCCATCAAAGTCTCATGCCGGTCACTGTGCTCGCCGTCATTTAACACACACACACTCGGAGACATGGGGTGATACACAAGAGCGATAACGATAACGATAACTTCATTTGCTGGCCAAACAAGCGTTTATCGAAAACAACACACAACAACAAGAAGAAGAAAACAGAAATAAACTGAATAAATAAAGGGAGAAGGAGAAAACCCAGACAAGCATGCTGCATGTGCCCGATAAATGCCACACTCACACACAAACACACACTCACCTCCATCTACACACACACACACTGGGACACAAAAGTTCAGCTACAGGCGCCTCTAATGAGCAACAAAGCCCAGCCGCCTGCCAAATCCAATTGCCTAACAGAACCGAAACTCTCCCCTCTACTTTTCAACTTTAACTGGAGGAAAAAGGGAAAACTTTTCACCAAACACACTCCGACTCACACGCACCTCCTTTCACTCCCACTCTCTGTGTGTCTGTCTGCCAGCATATTTTTCCCCACACACTCCCTCCCACACACCTGGGCCACTCGCTCGCACTTATGCAATAATTATGTCTGTATATACATATAATACGCACCCAACAAGATGCCTCAGAAAATACAAAAAAAAAAAAAAAAAAAAGAAACATACCCAGAAATATAACCAGAAATATACGCTTTCCCACACCCGTTGTTCTAAGTGTTGTGCCTTCTTCTTTCGACTCTTTCGTACTCTTTGATTTGAACGTTCTCTGCTAGACTAATGCCTACTTAAGCCCTCCGCCTATACTATATCTCTATCTATATATATATATAACTACTATATAAGCGTACACCTATCCGATATCTATACCTGTATCAGTATCAACTATATATAATGCGTAATGCCGTATGATTTTGCCAATGCATACAGTATATATGATATAAAAAGAAACCCTACGCAAAATGAAATACTAAGAACAAAACGAGAGTTTTACTTTACATTTCTTATATATTTGTATTTTCATTTTATTTATATCGTTCGTTCGTTAACATCGCTCGCTTCCATCCAAACAAATACCAAAAAAAAAAAACAAAAATCAATTTTAAAAAAAATACAACCAACTCAAAAAATCTCGATTCAAATAATTATATATATATGTATACATAAATATATATGTATCAAATGTTATTCAAACCAACAAAAAATACAACAAATGACCTCAAACAACAACCAACAAAAAAATTGCACCAAAATATATATCTCACCAATAAAAAAAACAACAACGACAAAAAATACAAATACAAATTGCTATTAAAAATAAAATGCAACCCTAAAACGCCCGAACAAAAAAACACAAAACATGAAATGAAAACGATAATGAAAATGTGCAAAATGAAACGCCAATCGATAAATTTCATGGTTTTCATCGTTAATCGTTTGACACACGACTATCGATTGATATCGAAATTGAATTGAAATTGATATTGATATTGGAATGAATTGTGAACGAAAAACGGATTGATTCATTGATTGATTTGATTGAATAATTTGAATTGATGGTACAGACCCGTCGGCGTTTGGGGCAAGATTGTGGGATCACTGTGTGCCATTGCTGGTGTGCTGACCATCGCACTCCCGGTGCCGGTCATCGTCAGCAATTTCAACTACTTCTATCACCGCGAAACGGATCAGGAGGAGATGCAGAGCCAGAACTTTAATCACGTTACTAGTTGTCCATATTTGCCAGGTACATTAGGTAAGTTCAACACTGTGTGTGCACTCCCCCCACCACCACCACCCTCCCCGAATCTCTTTCTGTCTCGCTCTCTGAAACCCAACCTCGCTGTACCTTGAGTTCGTACTCAAAACCCGTACTTGAAATAGAATACCAACCCAAAACCATCCGCAACAAAAACCATCCAGAAAAACCAACAACCAATTACCGACAACAACCAAATACCAAAACCACAAATTCAAGTAGAGCTACAAAAAAAAAAAAAAAAAAAAAAAAAAAGTAGATCCCGTTGAATAAAAATAGAAACATTTACGAAGAAAGAAACGAATTGTGGATGCCACTGCCGATGCCGAAGGCGTCCAAAGTCCAAGGCTGGATGCCGGCACTGCTTTCGAACCAAGACACGATTCCAACCACACAGAGAACAAATATTATTGATTTGGTATCGTTTTCTATCAAAAAACATCCTCGATCTGGGGCATATCAGTTTTAGGAAAATACTTCATGAATTGGTTAATCTCTAAAAGCACTAATATTTCATTACTGTAAAGGACAATTTTAAGTCTGAAAATTTCATGCTAAAGCAAGGTATTGTTGAAATCTCTAGAGATTTTTTATGACTTTAGTTGGGTTTTAATAAGTTTTGATTGTTATTATTACGATAAAATATTATTTTGATAAAGATTTACAACTATTTAAATCACTAAAAAATATTCCGCAATGTTAAGAGAATCTCAACCACTCAATGTTGTTAATTTTATTTTATATAATTTACAATATTTATATTTCATATTTACATAATCCTATTAGGACACCAAGATTTCTAATTCCAAAACCTGATATGCCAACGATAGTGAGATGCGTTGTTGAAAGATTAATTGAAAAAGTTGAGATGACAGTTATAGAACAGATGTTATGTTATGTTTTTTCTCTGTGCACTGCCGAACACCCACCAAAGCGCACACCAATCCACACCACACCACACCAATCCACACCACCGCAAGCCACACCACAAAGCATCAAAGCAGTGGTGAACTGTTGTGTTGGTGTGTTGGTGTTCTGGTGCATTGGTGTCCTGGTGGGTGGCCTGTGCTGGTGGGAACCGTGTCGGTAGGACAGCGGTACTGATGCCACAACCACAACCGACGTGCACGTACCGTGTGTGTTTTGTGTGTAAGCAAGTACTACAGCAAAAAACATTACTGTTGCCGATGATGCATTACAACTGTATGTGTGATCTCCTCTTTCTCTCTTCTCTCTCTCTTCTTTTTGTTTCTCTCTTTATTCCGTTAAATTGTATGGCCAATTCGAATATCGAATCGAAACGTAACCTCCACACAAAAATAAAAAAAATATTCCCCCCACCGCAAAATAAACCCGAAACCCACTCCACTCGGAACTCTATGCTCCGATTTGATCCGCTCCCGCATCCTGGCATTGTGTAAATACCCCAAAATCGAACCGCTCACTCACCACCCACCGAAATACCACGTTCACACCACACACAACACTACACAACACATACACACCTCACAAATGTCTGCCAACGCGTGAACACACACACACTAAACCAATGCATACAAACCACCAAGTAGGTCAACACATGAAGAAATCTTCGTTGTCCGAGTCCTCATCGGATATGATGGATTTGGACGATGGTGTCGAGTCCACGCCGGGAATGACCGACACGCATCCAGGACGCAGTACGGTGGCTCCATTTTTGGGAGCACAGCAGCAGACGCAGCAGCAACCTGCAACATCGATGTCGATGTCGCTGGACAAGCAGCTGCAGCATCCACTGCAGCAGCTGACTCAGGCGCAACTGTACCAGCAGCAGCAGCAGCAGCAGCAGAATGGCTTCAAGCAGCAGCAGCTGCAGCAACAACAGTCCAACACAACAACAATAAGCGCTAGCGCAAGTGCGAGTGCAACGGCGGCAACGGGCAGCGGCAGTGGCACCAGCGGCCTCACCATGAGGCACAATAATGCCCTGGCCGTTAGTATCGAGACCGACGTTTGACTACTGGGTAAGTGTTGGTTAACGCCACTCGCTTGCTGCACAGAACCACACCGACCCCACCCGCCCCCCACTCCTCCGTCAACTCCAGTCTCCTACCTTTATCACACTCTCGATAAACCTCTATCTAACTGAATCTCTTGTTCTCGCACACTCAATCATTTCTTTTCCCCCACCAATAAATCCCCTCCACACACTCGTGCACCTTGAGCCGTAGACCGTAACTAGGTTTAAGTGTTGCAAAATGCCGAGAGCAAAATGCAAAATTCCCAAACGGATTGTTCGCACTAGCCGCCGGGGAAGCAGTGGAAAGATGATATTTATCATTTATCCAACTTTTTAACGGTGTTGGGAAAAAAGTTGAATAAGATTTTAAAAGTTTCTTAAAATTATTGATGGATATTGAATTTATTAAATTTAATTTTGAATACAAATATTTGAATATCATTAATGTTCATTTAGAAAATAAATAAACCTTTCAATTTGTGTGCTGTAATCTAATGTTTAGATCAGTGTACTTATAAAAGTTTTACAACAGTAAAGCAGTTTTTGAATCATTTAAAAGAAAATATTTAAATATATGCATACAAATATAAAACTCTAATAATTATATAATATATAAATTATAAATTCTGTTTATTTTTAAATAGTCAATTATTTTTCCCTATCGTTAATATCCGTTTTGTTTAATAAACTCTCTTTCCCTGCGCAGTGTGAACATCCGATAACTAAAATTGAACTAAATTGAATTGCGATTTGATTAGAACATAACTTTTTCTCTCTTTTCTCTCCACGTGGCGCTCTCTTCCACCTACGCGATACATATGTTTACCTATGTTTATGTATTTACCTAATAAAACCTAAACCTAACCTAAACCAAAACCCATATATCTTATATGTCTTCATCCCCATATATGTATGTATTACGTATATAATATATAATGTGTCTATGTATATATATATGTATAAATCAGTGCAAAAGACGTTACGTGGTATAAATTTGGCCTTGACAGGAGTTACGTTGGATGCCAGAAACGACTACAAAAGCTGTTTATATTTAATTTTAGTAGAACAAATAACAAACAAATTTAATCTATTGCTAAATTAAATTAAATCTAAATTTAAATTTAAATTAATTTAAAATTAATTTAATTAAATTATACATTTAAAGATAAACAACACAAAAAAACAAAAAATACAAAAAAAAAGAAACAAAAACAAACTAAAATCCAAGAAAAACCCAAGCCAGCACAGGCTTGAATCAAATTTAAAGCCTAAATAAATGAATGAATAATGAGTACTACGGCATAACCCCCAGAAATAATGACAAATAAAAGCCAATAAACCGAGAGGGATAAAAGCAACAGCATAAACATCGAAGAAGAAGGTAGAATGGACGCTATAAATAACAAAAAAAAAACCCCCAAATTTTTAACATTTAACTCTATGTGGGAGACCCAACCCTAACTCCATCTGCAAACGGAAACTGTAAATAATTCAAAAAGTCATTAAGCTCACAGGACATTCATTAGTTTAGGCAAGAAAAAGGCTTTAGGAACGGGAACGAGACCAGACCACAAGCAGTGCACCATAGAGCAAGCAGTCCATTTATAGGAAGGTCCTTGAACACATTCATCACACAAACCACAAACACTCACTTGACGTATAGTAAAACTGCCGTAATATTAAATGAAAATGAAAGCAAAACCCAAAATCATACCACTTGTATAGTCATGGCATCGTGTGCTTTTAAATGTGACAGAGATAGATAAACAAACTAACTGAATAACCCGATAACCCGATAACGATAACCAAGCATTCACTTAATAGACGTGTTTGTATGTGTATTATGTGTATAAACCCTTAACAATATCAGATTCTTCTGGATACCTTTTGTCATTTTGTTTTTTGACTAGGGCTTAAAATTAATTACCCACCCACCCGATAACCGAAAACTGAGAACCCACTCTCTTAACCGACTTAACTGTACCCATATCAGCTGCGATTCTTCTGCTTCGATCCCCCCGATATTAAAACGAAATAAAAAGTACAAATATTCACCTAAAAAGCAAATGCAAAAACAACTATAAAGTTAATAAAAACATCAAGAATTATAAACTGCTGCTAAGGACAAAGGGCAATGTTTTTTTTTTTTTTTTTTTTTTTTTTCTTTTAAGAAAAAGGAAAAACGACTGCAAACTAAACTAAACAAGTCAAAACAGGCCACAAATTGCTCGAATCCCGGTCACAGATCAGCTTAATTACAATAAAAATTACTTTAAAAGAGACATATATAAAAAAATAAACAAAAATACAGGAGATGTACCACAAATCCAGAAAATGCTCTTATGATTTTTGTAACAAACGCAGACTTTATATATGTATGCCATAAAAAGCTGAAGGTAAAAGTTAAACTAAAAGCGATTTCTTCGACTGAATTGCCTGGGTTGCTTATACATTCCCTTCACTTGCCACCGATTTCATGCTGGAAAAAACCTACACAACAACAACAACAGCAAAAAACGAAAAAAAAAGATTAAAGATTAAATATTAAAGATAATAAAGGATAAAGGATAATGGCTAAAGTAAACCCAAATCTTTGACTGACTTAGGCCAATCCAACTTTTTGCATAAAATGTATAATAAATAAAAAGTGAAACTATAAAATTTAAATGAAAATAAATTACTAAAGTATATATATGTATATATATTTATATATACATATTTATATATATATACATATATATATATATATATATAGAAATAGAGAGGAAACCCTGTACATAAAAGTAACAACCAGCCGATGTATATTGATGAAAAGCAATGGCAAATCATTCAAGTGTAAATTTTAAAAAGCTTTGAGAACCGTCCACGCACACACGTATACCCCCTACATAAGTACACACACACACACAGTCAGAAAAAGTACATTTAGAGAGGGAAAGCTGGCTTAGAGTCTGAAGCCAACCGAAGATCCGGAGGAGCAGAGCAGAGCAAGTGCCTTATGGAACATTGTGCGCTGGCTGATTCAAGGCCCTTTTTCCCTTCTTTATATATTTTCCAGACCCTAACATAAACCCCCTTTCATATATATATAAAATATACATCCTGCTGTAATCCTGTCGCCTTCCCGCAACGCCTTGCAATTCAGTGGAAGCTGATCCAAAAAAAAAAATAAAAAAACAAAGAAAAAGGAAAACCAAAAACAATAAACACGCGCGTTTCCACAGTGCCACAGTGGACACTACCTAAAAAAGGACAACGGCACTCCACTGGGGCCTCAAACTGCTGTAAATACTCTCATTCTCCAGATACCCTTTTTTTTGTATAAAGCAGGAAATAAAGAAAAACCGAACCGAAAAGCTTAATGACTCTAAACTCTCAACTTTAAAATGAATATAATTAATAAAAAAATAAACCTAAAATAAAAGAAATATAAAAAGTACACTCACACACACGCAAATGTCATTTAATTGTAATGTACTTAGTTATAAGTGTAAGCAAAGATACAGATACATTAGAGGAGATACAGATAGATACAGATAAAGATACGAATTAGGATGAAAATGGTCCATGATGAGAATACGTTGAAACTAGCAAACACCAAAAGAACGAGGCAGCAAAGGGAGAAAAGGGATGAATAGGAGGAGAGGAGAGGGATATACGAAGCATAACGAAAAGAAAATCGCTTACTTAAGATTAGACCTTATATTGATTTAGATCGGGCCGAGTTAGTACTGGTTTTAGCTTCATAGATTCAAGGAGGAACCCAGGATAGCAGAGAATAAAAGGAGCCGAGTGTAAAGTAAGGTTGTTTTTTTTTTCTTAGCCTTAATCTAGACAAATGATAAATAAATTTAGCAAACAAAAAGAAAACTGTAAATGAGTGTAAGGTTTACCGATTGTATAGAAGAATTTAGAATTTTCTTTTATTTTAATAATTACAACTCACATTTTTTGTCCTACATCTTAAGACTTTTGATTTAATCACAAAAATAAGCCACTAAAATTAAAACCAATTAAAAGAAGAAAAAAAAAAAATAAATAAAAAAAAAGAAAACAATGAACTACAGAAGAGAAAACCGAAAATCGTGTTAATGTTTACCTATGAAAAGCTTAAAACCAAATTAAAAAATAAATAAAAATGAAAAGAAAAGTAAAAATTTTGGAATAAATGTGTTCAGCAAAAGAAATGTTATTATATGTTTAAATAAATTACAATTAATTCGAAATGAGCAGACAAATTTAATGTAATTAAATTGAGCCTAAGTACACACACACACACAAGAGTAAAATTCCAACTGTATATAGACACGGCATAATTCATACCTACACCTATATATATATATATAGTATATATATATAGCGTGTAGCATATAACTAGACATGTGCGAATTACAAGCTAGCTAACCGCAGACTAAGGGTAAACTAATACCGGAAATACCACAAATGCCATAAAATACCAAAAACACCAGATATCAGAAATACCGAACAAATACCAGAAATACCAGTGATACCAGAAATACCACAGACACCACAAAATATCAGAACTAACAATAATACCAGGTATTCCTGTTATCTTACGAGACAACCACAAAAAAAAACTTCTTGAGCATACCACAAAAAATACCTAAAATTAGCTAAAGATACCCAAAAATACATAGTTTGTATATGATGACGCGTTGACACCACGTTTAGGTAAAGCTTAAGCCCTTATATAAGCTGATCCAAGTCAAATCCAATCCGATCCGATCCGTTCTGATCCCACAAATAAAGAAGCGAATTCGCAGACAAGCAAAAAGAAAATAATAAATTGAGAAAAGTGTTGAAGCGTTCTTTTATTTCGCACACTGTACCGGTGCCGCCTTGTAAATAGTAAATAATCGCAAATCGCAGAAGAACGCATTTTCGACTTATCCGTCTCATTCCTCCTCCCACCTTGGTTCAGTTCAATTCCATATAATATATATTTTGTATTTGTATTTTGAACTAGATTCATAGTTAGCCGAGTCGATCTAGACTTGGAGAGAGTCCGTTAATTCTAGGATCGCGTTGAGAAGCAAAACGCTAGTTCTGTATCCTTAGTTTCGTACTGTAATCGTATTAGCTGAAGATCAAGAAACCTATCAAGGGGCAACCTCAAAGTGTACATATATATTTTATTTTTGTTGGCATATCAGCAGTTGAGTCACTCAATCAGTCAATCAGCGTATCAATCGATCGATCCAGGCAACCCATATATTCTTCATATACATAATACACCCAATTAGGAGCTGAAAGCGCATTTCATTCGGTTTTTTTTTGTTTTTGTACTAGTTTTATGCTTCAACTATGCTCTCTAGTCAACTCTACGCTACTCAACTCAACTCTAGACTAGCTCACTTTAACCCCAAAGCGAAAAAGCATTAAAAAATAACACACACACACTTATAAAACCCCAAAACAAATCGAAACAATGAATAATACAAAGAAGATGAACACTAACTTATACTCTAAAAAAAAAGTATGGAAGAAACCCAAAAGTCAGGATGATCGAGACGAAGAAGCAAACATATCGTTGTAAATCAAGAACTATGTTATGATAACCAAGAATAACTCAATGGAGAAACAAATCCAACTAATTAACTCATTATTTATTTCGAATATAATACTACAATAACAACAACAACAAACAATCGACTTTTCCTCAATTTTTGCAAAAAAAAAAAAAAAAAAAAAACAAGCAAAACCTAAAACAATCCTTTCAAGTTTTCCATTAAATTTAATTGACAAATCTTAACACACACACACACACACACACACACACATTTTCAAAATGAATAAAAAAAATACCATATATGTATGCTATATACGAGTAAATCAAAACATAAACCAGAAACTCTTTCAAAATCTTCTCAATGCTTCAAAAACAAACCAAAAATTAACAAATTTCTATTAAGGACAAAGACTGCAAATAGAGATTTAAAAAAAAAAAAATAAAGAAAAACAAAAAAACCAAAGAAAAGTACACTTAAAAAGCAAAACGAAAATGAAAAATAAAAAAAAAAAAAAAAAAGAAAGAAAGAAGTAAACAAAAAACGGTAAAATTTTTTAAATAATTGATTTTATATTCTAATTTGGCCTTGATTCAACCTACCAAGAAATAAGTTTAGGTTTAGTTAGAAGTTCCAAGACACACACATACACACTCCAACACACACAACCGAACCGGACGGGACCGGACAGAACTGAGTCGAATCAAATCGAACTTTTATTTTGGAAAAGCCCAAAAGTCAGAACCCAGTACTTTCCAACAATAACATTGAGAACCAAATAACAATACCCTGAGAAAGGAACTTTAAAAACCGATCACAGATAATACAACAAATTCGAATAATCTCCATAGAACAACATTTAGTATTACGCCTAATAAGATACTATTACAAAACCGAAACTCACACGCATATTAAAACCCCAGAGAAAAAACCACAAATAAAATGAAATGAAAAGAAATAAAACGAAAGCAAAGACAACAAAAACAAAAAACAAGCAAAACAAAAACAAAAAAATGAAAAATGGAAATGTTGTTAAGATTAAAAATGAAATGTTTTATAATCGTTATTCAATAAAAATAAAATAAAAAAATAAAATTAATTAATTTCGAAGAAAGCATTAACCAAAACCAAAACGAAATTCAGTTCGAAATTCGAACAATTCTTTAGCTGTAAATCTTCCCAGAAATATAACCCATATATCCCATCCATTTTCCCCCGATTTGCTTAGACTAGCTGGTAGTCCTTGCCTTGCGTTCGTACTTCTTAACTAAGTAATTTTTTTGGGTAGCTTTCTTTTCGAGGGGGTGGCATTAACCATTAACCATTAGTCCTAGATATATACATATATCATTGGTTGTACCCGCCAGTTATCGTAATCGTAAGCCTAGACTCTAGTTCCCTATATAAATATATATATTTAAGTGGGAGAGGGAAGTGGCCTTCCCCTTATTTAAACACACGCAGACAGACAACAAGCCCCACTCACATACTCCGCATACCCTCTTATCACTTGCTCGTATATTTTTAATACAACTATATATATATATACTATATATATATTTATATATACGAAAATGCCATGACAGTAGCACATTCCATCGCAGACATTCCTAGCGTAGCTTAACCAACACCCCTTTTCACTCCCTCGAAAAAGAACACATACACACACAGTACCCTATCGTCCAGTGAAAAGAATATAGAACACAGAAAAAAAAACGTATATATATATATAAAATATATATCTTGGAAAGTTGAAGTTCAAAACAGGTCAAGTCCGGCAATGGCAGTCCGAGCGATGCTAGAACCTGCGTTAACGGTGAGTGTGACAATCCCCGAGAGTAACCAGTTCCCAATCCAGACCCAAGTCCAAATCGTTTTAAAAAGAAATATATATATATATATATGTTAATATATAATATATATATATATATATATATTTACCCCAGTCGGTCGTTTTCCAAGCTCTGTCTATCCTTTTGTTTTGACTCTCTGTTTAACTTTCATCTATTCGTATTCCTTTTTTGTTTTGCGTATGCCTACATTTTGATTTTGCCCAAGTGGAGCTGGAAATAAAATCGATTCTATAATCGATTAATCGATTTTTTCCCATATTACGATACATCAATATTAATTTTAAGAATTGATTTCATCGAAAAAGTTCTAAGCGTAAATGAACACCGTGGAAATATTAAGAACAAAGTTAAACATTTTTAAAATTTTTGCTCTTAAGGAATGCTGAATTTCGGGAATTCCAATGATGAGTGATCGATTAAATCGTTTTTTTTTTTTTTTTAGAATTTTTATAATAAAATAAATTCACTGAAAATCGATTTATTTCCAGCTCTAATATAAACATATATATAAATACTTATATATATATATATATATATATGCGTATATGTCCTATCTCTCTCTCTCTCTCTCTCGATTTACGTATATATATAATAATATTGATAATCGTACATGGAATATTTTGTAAACTTTTTGCTTACGTTCTCCCTTCCCCCTGCGCCGAATGTAAACTGTAAGAAACGCTTCGCCTGCTGAGCCGACGCTCCTGCGCTATCCTGCTATATATATCGTTATCGTTACCTGTATCGCTATATCATTACTGCTAATCGAAACGAAAAGAAAAATAGAAAAAAAAAAAGAAAAAGAAAGTATAATAATAATAACAATAAGCTATGCAGCAGCAGCAGCAGCGGCAACATCTGCAACATCTGCGACCAGAGAACATGAACTAGAACAACAAGAACAAGAACAACTAGGAAGAACTATAGCAGCTCTCAGTATGCCTGAGGCTGCGCGGCTCCTGCTTCTGCTCCTAAGTCCCGTTTCCCTGTGCTTCCCGATTCCGGTGCATGTGCAATCAGTTGCTGTATCCAATCGAAATCGAACCAAAAACGATATTTGATATTGAGATCGCGACAGTACCAGAATCAGATCGCGTCAAGCGCAATCTGCCAGCAAATTTAAGCATACAAAAACAAATTAAACAAGAAAAAAAATAAAACCAAATCTAAGCAAAAGCAAAGCAAACAAAACAAAGCAAACGCAAACGCAAAGCAATCCCCAATCAAAAGCAAAGAAAAACAAAACGCAAAAGCAAAAAAAAAAACACAAGGGCGCACGCTTAGCACATTTGCATAAATACAACTCTTACTTGCTACCTATACTATATACTATAACTTAACACCTCACCCAAAAAAAAAAGAGAAAACTGCCCCACCCCCTCACACACACACACACACACACAAACATACAACATAAACACACTCTAAGGAATGCTGAACACAAACCAAGAGTTAAATCGAAACGTTTTTTGGCTTTTCTACTCACTTTGAACACGTTTTTTCTCTCGCTTTGATTTTGATTTCGTTCCTTGACTCGAGTACTCGAATGAGCATTATATCAGCAACTACTCTTTGCCTAATTACGATCGCTTAACTATACCTAATCTCTATATTATGAACACATATATATACACACACACAACGAACGAAAATACAACTCTGTAAGGCAACTTTGAGAACGAATATTGCCCAGCAGTTTTGTCAGTCAAATCGCATTCATTATCCACCATCCACCATTATCATCCTAGCACCTCAAAAATAAAAATAAAAGAAGAGTTAAAGAAAAAGAAAGGAAAACACACACACACACACACACAAGAACAAACACACACACAACCATAAACAAAGAACAGTCATGATCAGACATGCATCCAAAGTACAGTCAGTTCAAAAGGCAGTCAGTCAGTCAGGCACCAAAGATCCAGAACAGAGAAGACCCAGCGATGAGGAACTGCAAGCCCTAAAGAAGAAAGAGCAGTAAACTGAAGCCAAAGATTGAAGATTTGGAAGAATCAGCAGCATCAAAAGAGGCCGAAGAATCCAAAGAAGACGAAGCTTATGGTCCTTGCTATGTGTCTCCCTCCAACCTCCGCGCCCAACCGCTGTGCCAGTGTTGTGTGTGTGCCGAAGCAGCATTCGAAGCGGATGGCTTTGCAACCCGATGAACGATGGCCGATGACCGATTACCGATAACCAATAACTGTTAACCGTTAACCAACACCGGCGCCGGCATCGGCCTCGCATCGGTTCAGCTCGTCTCGATTTGCTTTGGTTTTTCAAGAAAAAAGAAAACACATCTCTCTATATATATATATGTATATTCATTTCGTGTCAAGTTTAACAGCGACGACGCCAAACGCCGGCACATTTTGTTTATTCCATTTGGCAATAAGTACGCTTCGGTTTTTTGTTAGCCAAAACCAGCCCCATCTCTATCTACCTATATATTAACTACTATATATTGTATAAGTATACCACGATGATGATTTCGTTTCGTCTCTTGTTTTTTTGACCATGATTTACGGTTCTGTCATTGGTTTTTTGTTTTGAGTTTAGTTTTAACCACCAAGTTACCTACCTTACAGTTGGTTTTTCAGTAACCGCCTTTCTGGTTACCGCCAACAAAAGTTGCTTTCGATGTTTGCATACGAATACTAATACGAATACCAAATACCAAATACCAAATACTACTTAATAACAATACAAATAACAATAACAAATACCCATACTAATACTTATTACTATACCTGTACCTATACCCTATATACCTTTTACCCTGTTGAGCTTTAGTTTTGGTTTTTGCTTTCGAATAAGTTCCGTTACGATAAATGCTTTTACCACCCGCCAAAAAACCCCACGAATACTTACTCGAACGCCTCAAGCCATCCACTTTACTTATTAAATAACCAACGTTGCTTCGTTTGTGTAGCCCATATGTATCTGTTGTGACACGTTCTTCTTCTATTTTTTGCGTTATTTTTTAGTTTTATTTTATGTTTGTTTACCAAGTTTTTAACACTTTTAGTTGGGTTCCCGGAAGCCTAGGGCTCCGGGGACCCAAAATCTAACCCGCTATCTAGAATAGTATAATCGAATATATCAAAACTTATAACTTGTTTCTACTTGTTTGTTTTTTTATACCACCTGATTTACATACTGCGTTCTTCTTCTACGTTCTTCTTCATACCAAATACCAAAAAAAAAACAAAAAAAACAAACAAAAAATAAAAATATAATAAATGAAAACCTACAAAAAAACAACACACGAATTTGCATATTTAAAAACGGATCGGATCGAATCGATTTAAATATACAAACCAATTCGAACTCTCGAACACACCCAACGACAACAACCAACAATGACCATTATTGACAAACATGAATCGAATCCACAAATATTGCCATTGAACAAACGAATGCATTCAACAAAATGCAAAATGCATCCAGGCCCGTCGGCTTCTGGGGCAAAATTGTCGGCTCTTTGTGCGTGATCGCTGGTGTGCTGACAATCGCACTGCCGGTACCGGTTATCGTCAGTAATTTCAATTACTTCTATCACCGCGAAACGGATCAGGAGGAGATGCAGAGCCAAAATTTCAACCACGTTACAAGTTGTTCATATTTACCTGGTGCACTAGGTACTTACTACTACTACTAGCGGTTAAGAAAATATCCCGAAAAAAAAAAAAAAAAATGAAAAATACCCACAACCCTGTTTCCCCACCCCAATCTCTTAGAAACGTCCCCCCTTAGCATCCGTTTCTCTAATCGATTTATCTGCTGATCCACGAACCCGAATCTAGGTCAACATTTGAAGAAATCCTCACTCTCCGAGTCGTCGTCGGACATCATGGATTTGGATGATGGCATTGATGCAACCACGCCAGGTCTGACTGATCACACCGGCCGCCACATGGTGCCGTTTCTCAGGACGCAGCAGTCCTTTGAGAAGCAGCAGCTCCAGCTTCAGCTCCAACTGCAGCAGCAGCAGCAGCAGCAGCAGCAGCAGCAATCGCAGTCGCCGCACGGCCAGCAGATGATGCAGCAGCAGCAGCTGGGCCAAAATGGCCTGCGCAGCACAAATAGTTTACAGTTAAGGCACAATAACGCGATGGCCGTCAGTATTGAGACCGACGTCTGACTACTAGGTGAGTATGCATTGCCAGTGTGAGTATCTAGGGAGCACTATATCGCCACCACTTTGTCCTATATTGTGGTTTAGCTAAGCACTGGTTTGAGTTCCTAAAACAAAAACAAAAAGTATAAATAAATTAATAAAAAAATTCAAAAGGAAAACCTATTTTTAAAATTATTTTTAAACTTTCGATAAATATTTACTTAGTTTATTTACTTCTTCTCCACCTAAAATAGTAATTGTATTGTTAGGCAACATTTCCACATCGAAAACTACTCTCTATATAATTCGTTTGAAACTTTATTTTACAGTCAAACAAATGGAAAATGGACGAAATTTGCGCAGTGAAATGCTACGTTGGATGCCAGAAACGTCATCAAAAGCAGTCTAATTTAGAATTTTATTAATAAATACAATTAAATAATAATAATAATAATAATCAGTAAGCAGCGTAGTTGTAAATTAAACAGCAAATGTACACAGACACGGAACACACACAAGAACACACACACACACACGCACACAGTGCCAGTTCACTCAGCTTGAATTAGAGTATTCGTAGATACTAAAAAAAAAAAAAAAAAAAGTCAAATATGGAATTTTTCCTTGTTTCTACTTTCATTTTCCTTCTGGTAATCTCCTCAACGAAGACACACACATACACTCGAAGAAAAAAACAAAACTCTACTTGATACCTATGTTCAAATTTAGCAATTAACAACTAACAATCGTTAACAACAACAAAACCAAACAGATAACACACACACAAAACAAACAAAACAACAAGAAAAAATGAAAAGAAAACAAAAATCGAATTATCTTAGTAGACTAATCTAATTGGAGTTTCTTCCTTTCTTTAGACGCTAGCAAAATGAAAACAAAGAACAAAAACAGCCAGACAAAAACAAACAAAACAAACAACATACAATATCTGCTAATTTTGTTTTCAACTTTAAATTATGCTCTATTAATTAAATATTAGTCAGAATATTAGTAAACCAAACTAAACAACAACAAAAAAAAAAAAAAAAAAAAAAAACTATAAAAAAAAGAAAAAGAAAAAACTGAACAACAGTAACAAATAAAAAGCAGAAACAAGCTAAATAATAACTAAAGGCAAAGCTAGGGAGAAGATGTAACAACGCCGGCCAATCGTCGTTCAAAACAGTGCTCTGGGCATTGGGTATATCTTTTGGAACAATGAATAGATCGATAAATATCTATACTATTTAATTTCAATTGTTGGTCATGTCATGGTTGATGATTGCAATTCCTATTTTCGAATATTTTTCACATTTTTGTAATAGGAAATCATTTCTTACTTCTTGTTTGTCCAATTTACGATTTAATTGATTTTTTGATCACAATTATATTTAATCCTCTAGAAAGATAACCTGACTAGGACCAGAGCACTGTTTCTATATTTCGTTGACACAACACACAACAGACACACGACATACACATAGACACACACACACATGATAATGCTAAAAACATCAAAACTGCCGTTAAGTTTAAAGAATGAGTAATACAAAGATTATATATAAATAAAAATATATATATTAAATATATACATACATTTACATATATAATTAAATATACATAAACTAAACTAAAACTGCTATTTTGTAAATAATTAAGTCAGAGCTGAAGCTGAACAAATAGACATAGAAATACAACAAAAATTAAATATTAAACACACAAAAAAATAAAAATAAATAAAAATAAATTGAAGAGCAAACAACAACAAGGAAGACCCAAAGAAAACTAGAGAGAATACGAGAAAAAAAAGAGAACCTTAAACCAAGAAAACCAACATAAGGAAAGCTGCTAACGATACAAAAACAATAATTAAACTTAGCAAATACAGACACACAACCAAGAGCCACAAAACAGAACAACCACAGCAATAACAAGAAGAAGCCCAAGGTCAACAGGAAGAATTCAAGAATTAGAAGAGAATATTATATGAGAGAGAGAGAGCCGTAGAAGAATCTCAATACTAGCTATGTGAATCTCTTATAGAGACCTTTTGGACCCGCTTTCGTTCTGTTTAGTCCAGATATAGTAGTTTCCGCTTGATTTTCTGTTTAATTTAGTTTTGTCTTCCTTGAAAGATATAGCCAGATATATATCCCTCTGATCTGTTGCAGACATATAGGTAACTGTAGGTGTCAATCTTTTGTCTCCATGCATCACACAGATACAGATACAGACAGATACAGATCGATTTTTAGGATCTAAAGGCACTCACACACAAACATATTCATGAGTTGTAACTTAATTCGCTGTCTTCCTGATTTTTGTGATTTTAAAACCAATCGAACTCTTCTCAATCTCTAGCCACTTTAACTTTTGTCAACAAATTCCAAAAACAAAAAGAAACAAAACTAAAGAAAAAAATATAAGAAAGAAGGGAGATAGGAAAATCGTTAGAGGATAAACCAAAATTATCAATTTCAATTTGCATGCGCATTCGATATATCAATTCTATAAAATTTAAGATACGAACTGCTTCCACAGCATAGTGCCGAGTGTTAGCGTGCAAATCGATCGATCGAAGCCATATCTAAATTTCTCTATACCTAGAATCCTACCTACAAAGCTTTGCTTCTACTGCTCTCCTGCTAACCCCATAAAAAAAGCAAAAAAAAAAAGAATAGAACGGAACGGAAAAAGGAAGACGAGGAGCCACAAAAATTACTTTGGACCACAGAAGAAACATCTCACAAGACGCCCAGTTACGAATGTGTGTGGGAGAAGAACGAAGGAAGAAGACGAAAGAATTCCAAGCCGAGAACTAAGCTAACGCGCATGCATATATACATACAATACATATATGGATATTTATATATATACAAGTATATAAATATATGTTTTTGTTAGATATGCGACTGAATAACAATTGTTTTTATTGATTTGCTGCTTGTTGTAATTAAGAAGAATTTAAACAAAACGATAATATTTATACCGAAGCAATCTGTAAATATGTAAAAACAAAAAAATGTAAAACCAAAAAAAGCGGAAAACCAACCAAAAAAAAAAAGGGAGAAACAACAGGAAACGAAAAAAAAAAAAAGCGAAGGCAAAATATAAAAGATAATTAATAAAAACATAAAAATATAAATCGAATCAATTTACAGCTTTGAAAACCGTCCACACGCACACAGCAAACGAAAACGAAAAAGAAAAGGAAAGAAATATCGAGCGAAAAGGGAAGGAGGAGAATGAGAATAAGAGACATAGGGATAATGAGGGTAAGAGAGATAGCGAGTGGGAGAATCAACTAGAACCGAAAGACATTCTTACGTATACTTGATTTGGCCTTAAAGACACACCAGCTTAGCACAAGACACACAGACGGGCATATATATTTAAATGTATATTCATTTGGATCTAGAATATATATACATCTCAATATATATGGCGTGTACATATAGGCTATTAGCAAAAGTTAAAGTTTAGAGATCCGAAAAGTACCATGTTTTTGTACGTGCGCCGCACTCAAGTCAATGTCAATGTCAATGCCAATATGTCCCGGCCATATCCATTAGCCTTACATACATACATATATCATTAGCGGATTTACGGATTTATGGATTTATGTATGGATTTATCGATTTTAGTTTTTAGTTCGTTCGATTCGTTGAAAAGTTCTCGGTCGGCCAATCGATTAGATACAAACAAAAATGAGCAATAACAAGAATACCGCTAGATTGCATAATACAACAGATATTCTTAATATTAACTATGGTAATTATACAATAATCTCTATATAGACATAACAAATAATAATAATAATAAACTTAAAACTAAAAAAAAAACATATCGTCTTCAAGTCATGCAAAACGGAAAACCAATTAAATATTTTTTTTTTTTATAAGCGTAATTTACAAATTAATATTAAACAAAGAGAAATCGCTAAAAAAAAAGCTTACTATTAAACCAAACAAACAAAAAAAGAAAGATAAATAGAAAGAAGGATAGGCCGCTGAAGAAAGCAAAGTGAGGAAGACAGAAAGTAAGAGCAAAGGCATTAGCAGAAAAGGAACCAACTTGGCCAGACTACAACTAAAAGTGATATAAACCAAAAACAAGTCACAAAAACGCAAAAGAAAAAAAACCTAAAAAAAAAAGAATTAACAAAATAAAGATAACTTGCCAAAATAATTAAGTGTACTAGTGAGAGGGAATCAGAAAGCGAGCGAGTAGAGAAGAGCGAGTGCGAGTGCGAGAACGAACGAGCGAGTAGAATACTATGCTAAAGTAATGCCTAGGATCAAGTACAGTCTGCAGAGTCAAAGCTACTTTACCAGCCGCCTTCCAGTGGAGCCTCCCCCATGTTCCAATGCTCCCATTTCCCGTGATCTCAAGTCCAGGAATCGCTGATCGAATAAAATGAATAAAAACAAAGACTGGAATAAATACAAAACACAAACAAAAAACCAAATGAAAATGGAAAAAATATATATAATATATATACAAAGAACCATAGCTGAAACACATACCATTATTTAGTTCTTTTCAATTTTGTAATAGCAAAAATTAACCATAAACATTTAATGCTGTGCCTAAAAGCAGGCAACGGTTTTAGATCCCTAATTTCATGGCCTACTTTTGGGCAGTTCTTCAAGGCAATTTTCCTCAGCTCAGTCTTCACTCGCAACTTCGACTCCATTCCAAGTCTTCATTTCTATTCAAAAATGAAAAAAAAAATAAAAAACAAAAACAAAAAACAAAAATCAATAATAATACTTAGCTCAAGCATGCGAAATACAACAATTAAGAGTAAAATATAATACCTAATAAAGCCTAGATAATACACACACACACTCTCACACATCCTACACCCAGAGTATTAGGTCCAGATCAAGTAAAGAAGCAGGATGAAGGATACAGCGGAAACAGAGAGTGGGACAGGAAAAGGATGAAGGAGGGAAAGCTTAGCAAAAGGCGGTGGTCACTCCATGTAAATTATGCGTACAACAATAACAGAACAAAAATTAAAAACAAAAAAACTAAAAACAAGAAGAACAACAGCAACAACAACAACAAAATAAGAAAATAGCAAAGGAACAAAACAGAAGATGGGCATATGGAAAAAAAAGAAGAGAAAAAACACTACTTATGAATTAATGCTAAACAAATTTACATATTAAACGTATACATAAAAGGATAACACTTAAGTAAATCAAATTATAACAGAAATAAAGGCGCCGCAGCAATTATAAAATATATATGTATACAATATATGTATATAGTATATATATATGTATATGTATATGTTGTTAAGATTCTAAAAATGAAATGTTTTATAAATAGTTAAACCAACAAAAAAAAAAAAACCAAAAACGAGAAGAAAGGAAGAAAGCAAAGGCAAGAAAACAAAGATTATTATATATTAAATACGGGAGAAAGCGAAAACCAAAACAGACACATACACACACAACACACACACACACACAAATAGAAGGTAACACAACAACAACAACAAGAAACAACACCAAAACTACAATAAGCAACAAAACAAAACAAAGAACAAACCAAAACCAAGGCGAGCAAGCACAAAATTTACCGTTTGACTTTCGATCATTTAAAAAAAAAGTAAAAACAAAGACAAAACAAAATGCAAACCAAAATACAATTTTTACAATCATTGTAAATTAAAAACCAAACCAGATTGGACTTCAAATCAAAGCAGCTTACAAAATGAATATAAAAAAAGTCAAGAACAAAAACAAAAAACTAATAATTATGTATGGGAAATGTCAGCCAGCTAAACAAGAAAACAAAATCAACACAAAACACCAACACATCCAGACATATACACACACACATGCTCAACACAAACACCAACACACACCCACACAGACAGAGGCAGACACACGTTACTTTATGAACATAAAACAAATTAAATGGAAAGTATATAAAATAAATTATGCTAAAAGGAAAAATTCAAAATATCAACGGAAATTTTTTAATTGAGCAAGCAGTGCCAAGACACTTTCGCTTGGAAGCAGTGCAAGATAACGAGAAAAAAAACACTAAAGACAGTGTTGGGAAATCTTGAAATTTGTGGTTTTACTTCCGGTGAGTATTTCGAGAACTATTTTTTACAGGAAATACTTTATAATATTAATAAATAAATTTGAAAAGGCATATAATTTTAATAATAGATTTTTGATTTTTTTAATTAAATCTAAAAACTGACCGATAACCAAAAAATCGATATATGTTTATATAACCAATCTTCAGTCACAAATTCTGTATGTTTAATGTTTTCAATAAACCATTTCACCCAAAAATAATTATAATACCTCCAATTCATATCCATTCAAATAAAAAAAAAAAAAGAAATCTGATATCTTAAGGTTTATTGTTTATCTTAGGAGTAATCACTTAAATTCATACATTTATAATCTTACATTCGAAGGACTAACCTAAGCTTGAAATTCCATTTCAAATTCCATTTAGCTCTCGTTTCGTATTTATTTCTCTTGATTTTCTTTTTGCTGATATATATTTACAGTGTGGGAGATGATGATGTGGGTGGTGTTTGGTTATGTGGGAATTGGGGTATTTTTGATTTCTTTTTTTTTTTTTTTGGAGCCACGATCTGGTGTGCATATCACAAAGTGTTCATCCCCTACCGATGGCGGGACAGCTGAGATGTCGCGGTTGTTGGATATCAGGGAAGCGCTGATGAGGATCTGCTGCGTCTTCGACCTCTGGAAATGGTAGCGGAAACGGAAACGGAAGCCGAAGCGGAAGCGGAAGCAGCAGTTCCAGCCTGACTTACAGGTGGCCTATAAGTGGGCAGATCTATAAATACGGCCCTATATTCCGGCACCTCTGGCCGCATGGATCGCGACTCTGACTGCAGCATATTCGTGTAGTAATTGACCTCGTTTCCCGCCTCAACCGGCTTGCCCTGCTTTTGCTGCTGCGGCTCCTCCTGGTCCTGCCACTCCTCTCCCTCCGCGTTCTGCTTACGGGAGCGGGCTCGCATCAACCGGAAAAGATTCCTTTGCTGCACCAGGGAGGGCGAAGACGATGAGCGACGGTTTGCCTTCTGGGAGCGCCGCTTCAGAGTGGAGGTGGCATTCAAAAAGGCGGACTCCTCATAGCGTGGTATGTACCGCGGCTTGCGTGACTCCGATGGACGCACTGCGTCACGATCATGGGGCGTCACATTGAAGCCAAAGAATCGAGGCGCCTGCACCGAGATCAGGGGCAACAGCGTCTCCCTGGCGTAGCGCTCCGCCCGCTGCAGTAGCTCGCCTAGTCGGAAAGGCAAAAGCTGAACAGTCTGCGGTTCATCCGTTCCCATTTGGGCCATCATTTTGGGTGGAGTAGGCGGCGGAGGAACTGAACTGGAACTAGAGTTCATCGACGATGACGTCTGATCCTGTTCGATGTCACCGGACAAGTCTAAATCCTTGCCCTGCTTTACACGCGGCGTGGTGGCCTTCAGCACGGGCTCCACAATCTCAGGACCATTGGTGGTGCCATAATCCTGCAGATTGCGTCCCCGATTAACCGCCAGCCGACGATCCTTGAGCACTGGCTCAAAGATCTCACTGGCAGGTTCCGAGGACAGACTGCGACTCGATTCCGCAGTTGCAGCCGCCGCTGCCGTCTCATTGTCCAGGGAGTTGCCCACCAAAATGGGTTGCCAGGGCAACTCATCATCCTGGCCAAGGGGATGATAGCTCTGATTACTGGCCAACTTGAAGCTGGTGCCCAGATTGAAGATATCCTTCCTCTGCTTGGCGCTCTCCACGCCATCTACTGCCGTTTCCTGGACACTGGAGTCGGGCACATCGGTGGGCGACAGGGTGGGATTAGCGCTACCGGACGGATGGGTGGTGTAGGCACCATAATCCTCCTGGTTGTCCAGCTCACAATTGCCCGAATGGAGACGCAAACGAACCGGATTGCCGCTGCTCAGCTTGGTGCTTGGCCGGCACAGGGAGTGACTACGCCCAAAGCTATCCGTGAGCACAACCTTGTCAATGTCCCAGTGGGGCAACCCCTTGCTCAGCCAGCCGCTGTAGGACTTGTAGTGCAGACTCAAGGTGGTGGGGAAGCCCAAAGCCGGATGTGGGACAATAATCTTGGACACAATGTCGCCGGCAAAGAACTCGGCATCGTCTTTCCTGTAAAATAAATTCGTTTATATTTATTGTGAGAGCACGACTTGGGCTCCCAGTTACTCACTCGGATATCTCAAAGGTCTCGTTGAGACCGCCATCGCCCTCGAGTATGGCCTCCAGGCGGCCAATGGTACGCAGGGGCAGATCGTTGAAGGAATTGAAGATTTGCAGCTGAAATTGGTGGGCACAGAAGGGCTCCTCCTCGCGGGTGAGTAGATAAAGCTGCCCACGGCCCGTGGAACGATCAGCATAGTAGCCCATATTGCCGCATCGGGGTACTCCTTCAGCCAGATCCTCGTCATCCTGGGCGCAGGGGAAGCATCTGCCCTTGAGGAAGTCATCATAGCTGGCACAGGGAAAGGCGGGGAACAGGCAGCGTGGAGCCACAGAGTCAATAAAGAACTTGTAGGCGCGACGATGGTTGCACAGGGAACGTCCCTCCTCGTCCTCGGCGGCCTGGGCAGCTGTACAAAAAATATTAAATTAATTATTTAATTAATTATTTAATAATAAATAATTATTCCCAAGAACTTACACCATATAAAATCAGTCACAGCTCCCACAAAAAGATTGGAACAACCCGTCTGGACACGTCCCCCGTTGGGATAATAATCCACATGCCCCATGGGCTGCCAGGAGCCCAAGCCACCCAGTATCAGGTTCTCTCCATTCGAATGGATCACATCCACAAACTCGGCATCGCTGCTATCCAAACGCACTTTGGGATGCTGGGCCTCAAAGAGTGGGCCAGCCGGATCTAAGCCCGTAATTCGGGATAGTCCAGGCAGCTCCGCGCCCGCAAAGCCAGAGACATGGGCACCCAAACTGAACCCAATGACATGGGTGCGCATCAGATCCAAACCCTTGTGCTGCTGCAAGTTGCGAAGGAGCATGGCCAGCTGCTTGCCCACCAGACGGGTATTGGCTGCCGCCCGGACATAGTTGGGAAAGGTGGCTCCATTCTCCCAGTCCACGCAGATGACAATGCAGTCCTCCTGGAAATAGAAAGAGGTTAATGAGCGGTATAAATAGTATCTTCCAAAGATTACTCTTTATACTCACCACCGCCATGAGGGCCGTTTTCATCTCATAGATCCAGACATGAGGACAGGCAGAGCCAAAGCCATGGACTATGACCCGCACGGACAGCTCGTCGAAGCCCTCGAGATCATCGATCGTGGGTGTGATCTTCTTTTGGCCACTTAAGGTCAGGTTGCCGGGGGATGATAATGATGATGATGATGTGGAACTGGAGCTAGATGATGATGACCTGGCACTGCCCTCAACTGGAGGAGCACTAGTGCTGGTCTCCGTCTCCCGCTTGCCGCGAAAGGCATTTGTCATGTTCAGAAAAGACAACTCCATTAGCGGCCTGTCAGATCTCTGCCGCGTGGAATAAAAATAGAACTTGGTATTGATCTCCTCTGGTGGTGAGGGCAGCATCTCCAGATAGGCAAATGGTCCGGAGTCCTCGAAGCAGCCCAACTCTCCATAGCAAACCCGTTTTACGGCCCTGCGGGAGCGATGACCCTGATGACGGGCTCGCTCCTGCTGGCGCTCTTCGTGGGCCACCAGTGACTCTTGCACCGCCAGCGATAGTTCCGTGAAGTTAACATACTGCCGCGCTGAGGTCACTTCCTCCTGGGCCAAAGCTATAAAAAATATACAAAATGAATATAAATATTCACAATAATAAAGAGGCGAGTCAGCGGGCAAATAAATGCGGTTCTGTGCATTGCGAGCACGTTCTCCACCGTCAGAAATAGATTTTATACGAATTTCCGTTTGGAATTTGTACCCCCCTCTACCCCTACACTCGAGAGAGATGTTAGAACCAGTTGGGAATCGTATGTGCACACGTGTGAGATTTTATAAAAAGTCTAACAGCAAAACAAATGCAATTCGCTTTTGAATTAGAAAAGGAACTAAATAAAGCTAATCAGAATTTAGAAAAAAATTTTAAATTTCATTAAAAAACAGCACTTATATGAGACATTTAATCAAGATGGACATCGTTAATATAAAGCTCATTCGATCGAATTTCCCTATTTTCAATGGCAACGCAATGAATCTCTTTGGTTCCGATTTCCCGCCCATCCAACGGATTTGAAACGCACGCCACGCGGATGACATAACGCCGACATTCGTGTGCGCAAGTGTGTATGATGGATCGCCGGAGCGTGATTGCGTTTTTAAAACAACCAAAAGCCCAAAAGCCGAGGAACTGAAACCAAAACCAAAACCAAAGACAATAACCCAACCCAAAACTGTCCGCACGCGCAATGAGCCCCAAGAAAGGCAATGGGGAAATAGTGTGATGTTCCTAGAAATTCCAAAACAAAGTAGAAATCAATAAAAAAAAAAAAACAGCAAAGGAAAATCTATATAAAAAGAATATAATATAAAACAAAATTAAAAGAAATATATATATATGAAAATAAAAGTAACATGATAAAATAATATAAAATAGAATATATATAACATATATATATGTGTATAGGGATATATCCCTCTAAGAATAGGAATAGAAATTCCTGCAAAATGCCAAGGGCCCGAACAGGGCTCGTACTGCCACCGGTAAACGGATTTCCCCCTAACACCTCAGGCCAACCCATCTACTAGAAATCGTAGGATCAAGTGTTCCTTTCAAGTTAAAGGGTACAAATTAAGGAAAAATCAAGGCTAACTAGATTCAAAAAGATCAAGATTTACTTCAACTCTTAACCTTTTTATACCCTTGCAGGGTATTATAATTTCAGTCAGAAGTTTGCAACGCAGTGAAGGAGACGTTTCCGACCCTATAAAGTATATATATTCTTGATCAGCATCAACAGCCGAGTCGATCTAGCCATGTCCGTCTGTCCGTCTGTCCATCTGTCCGTCTGTCCGTCTGTCCGTCTGTCTGTTTCTACGCAAACTAGTCCCTCAGTTTTAAAGCTATCTGAATGAAACTTTGCATATAGTCTTCTATATACTCTCACTGCTATATATGTCGGAACGGGCCGGATCGGACGACTATATCATATAGCTGTCATACAAATGTTCGATAAATTTGTAGAAAAAAATTATAACTTGGCTGTTTTTCAATATTTTTGCATCATTTTTGAGATATAGCCATTTTATATTATTACAGAATTTTGGTAAAAATTTTATGAAAATCGGACGACTATATCTTATAGCTGCCATAGGAACGATCGGAAAAAGAATAGGAAAAAAATTATAACTTTGTTGTTTTTCAACATATTCTTATCTACTTTTAGATAGCTTCTTTTATTATTTCAGAATTTTGGTAAAAATTTTATGAAAATCGGTCAACTATATCATATAGCTGCCATATAAACGATCGGTAAATGTAGAGAAAATATAAATCTGGGAATGTAAAACTGTAACTGTCAAACTGTAAACATAATAAGTATAGGTAAAATGTAATGAAACTCTGTTTTGTGAGTGTTTTCAGCATTTAAATTTATAATATAAACATCAAAACCAATCTGCAAGGGTATACAAACTTCGGTGTGCCGAAGTTAGCTTCCCTTCTTGTTTCAATTTATAAAGTTTAAAGTTTGATTTGATTAGTAATAAATTAATAAAAAAAAATAAAGAAACTCCTGGCAAAATGCTGAAGCACCATACAGGCATTGCAAGTTGCAATCACCAGGAATGGAATCATCCTAAAATGACCGCTGATGTTTATGCTGTGTGAGTCCCCTTTTTGCTGTGCCCGTACACCACAGGCCACTCCAGCTACCGAAAACCCTTAAATAAAGTGCTCAATTTAAGCTTTGAAATACAAATCAAGGTGAACTTTGATTGAAGAGCTTAGCATTTTCTTGGTTTTATTAAACGAAATTCTTTAAGTGATCTTTAAATTAAATTATATAAATTATAAATATTATTAAATTATATAATATATAGAATTATATATGTATTATTACTTTATAACTCAGTTATTTTATATTTAAATTATAGTTTTACTTGTTTGTGAAACATTTTGGCATCTTCCAAGGCAGCTTACCGAATTTTATTTATATAAATAATTTAATTTTAATTTGCATTTATTTTTTATAAATAAATTCCACTCAGATCCTCTATGCTCTTCAATCCATGGCCCAGCTCAAGGGTAAATTAATCTCGGTTACTCTGGGCTTTATTGGTTTTACCTTCACAATACAGACAATATCTCATCTCTTTCACTTGAGTTTTTATGCAAATGTACACAGAAAAAAAATTATATATTTCATGGGAAAACATATATGAATATTTAATAAAAGAATAAAAAATAACATAGCTAAAAAACACATATTTCTATATTTTTCTATAAACAAACAAGTTTTTTAGTTATAAAAACTATTGATAATATTTTTAAAAATTACTAGGAAATCTTGAACCAGTGTTATCCCCCCTTAAAGCTAAAATGTAACCCACATTTGGCCATTATTTGTCGCCTCCCTGAGACCCATTGTGCAATCAACGCGGAGGCACTGGAGTGGTGCCGTTGAACGTCTTCTTAATTGACACAATCGCCGCAACTAACACCCCCTCAGATAACAAAATTAAATAAAGCACAACACAACCCAACAGACTCGTTAAAAGCAAACACAAGTCGAGCGCTAAGTAAATTAGTTAATGTTTCGCGGCAATTAGTTAATGGGGCCCACGGGGCGTATACTTACCAGGGGCCGTGTGGCACTTGAGCAGCACGAAGAGAAGGCAGCTGGCAATTAGCATGATTACCAGATTCTACCAATATCGGTTATATATATATATATTCTCTGAATATATTAAATATATATATTTTAGTTGCTGAAACTGAACATTGCTCGCCGCAAAGATGTGTGTTATGCGTCTCTTTTCGCTTTGGTAATAGCAAAATATACAATAAACAAATTCACTTTCACTTATTTGTGAACCTGCCGGGGCGACAACCAAAGCCAAACCGAAGCCAGAGTGAAGCCAAAGCGTAGCGAAGACCGTCGTCTATATGCTGTGGTTGTGTCTCTGCCTCCAAAGTCGTGACTATAACTATGACTGCAAGTCTTTGAGAGCGTCTCTGACTCACTGACTGACTTAGCCACAAGGCAGACAGTCAACCAATTACGAGTGTCGCCAAAAAAACCTCCGCTGGAATCTCCGGATCTGGGATCTCCAATCTTTACTCTGGAATCTCCAATCGGGTCTCGGCTTTCTCCAAGAAGGGAGAGCGGCTCTCTGTCTCTCGTCTCCAGCTCCAATTTGCGACAAGCGGTACTGACTGATTGATGGCCTGATTGATGGCTTGGCGATCAGTCGTCTGCAATCAGAAGAGACAAAGTCATATATGTTTAAACGGTTTCGCTGGACACTGTGAAAAATTAATAGTAATAACAAGCTAAGCTTAAGCTAAAGCTTAAATATTTTTATTATAAATTAATTAAAAATGCTAAAATTAAATAACAGAAAATAAACAAAAGAAATTTGCTCTTCTATTTAAGGAGGAAATAGAAATACCTTAGAAAAAAGAAAGTCTTATTAGAAATTATAAAACAATCACAACAGTAAAACTTGATTTTAATATTTAAAACATTTTTCAAAAGGCCAATACACTCGAACCTCAATAAATGTTTGATTCAAATCAAAAAAGGCATTCTTTTTGCCCAGTGTAGTCGTGTTGCCATTGTATAATAGGCCGGTTGCACTGGCACCCGAACAGGATGTTGCGCATGTGCGTCTGCCGGCGAACGCGTCGTGACTTGCAGCCTTGTATCTGTGCAGCTCGTAGTATCTGTGCATCTTGTAGTATCTGTGCATCTGCGGCATTTAGTCCATTGACCTTACACTTGTCGGCGGAGAGCATTCTGGCCACACTAAAATCCAGCCCGACCACTTTTTGGACCGCCTCGCATTTGGGTCAACAGGCAGAGACAAAGCCAAGAGCGAGCAAGCCGTTTGTTGACATTTTTTTTTTTTTTGTATATTTTTGCCAATTTTGGAAGGGGAGGAGGATAGGAGGAGTCACTAAAGAGGTGTGACTCAGGCGGAGATGTGACAAACGAAAGTGAAAACCTCACAAAAAAACTGGAACTGTAACTCGGCATGGAAGTTGCACCGATGTTTCCACTATTGATTAACAAAGCTTTTTGGTGTTCAATCAACACTTCATTTCACTTTCGTTGGCGGCGTGGGGCCGTGATCTACCAATTAGCGCCTAACTGCTTAAGACATTAGCGGATTGTGCAACACAAGAGATACCGAGATACAAACATACATCTGTTAGCATGGATAAACTAGCGACACTTTGCTCTTAGTTACTTTTCTTGCCTGTTTTAAGTGCAAAAATAAATATAAAAAAAAACTTGCTTACTAATATTCTTTAATATTTTGAGACATTTGCTAGTTGTTTAGGAATAATTTGAAGTACAGAATATACAAGACTTAGGGATGACATTATGCAATTATATATGTTATATGTCAGAACCAGTTGGGAATTATATGTTGACACCTCTCTTAATGGGATCTTTTGGTCGAATTCGCCTTGGTTTTTATGAAAAATTTACCATTAAAACTAGTAAAATTCGCCCTTATATTAATCATATACATATACATATATTGTTGTAGATACAACTTTATGTACATCATTATCAAGCCGGCACATCGTGTGAACATTCCATAGACTCTAGCTACCTGTGATGAAAAGCGAAATTAAAAAGCTGCGAGTACCGTTAAAGAATAAAAAAAAGAAGAAATGAAGACAGGTTGACATGCCGGTGGTGATGAAGATGTCACTGAAGAAAGCCAAGAGCCAAGTCAAGCTTTGGACCTCAGAGTCGTCAGCATCATCAAGCTGAACAAAGAGCTCCATCAAAATGGAAAGTAACGCACTAAATAATGCTTCTTAGGTGACTTTCGCATGGGCTCTATATGTATCGGTGCTGTTTCTATATTGTATATACATATATATATATATTTGTGGCTAGCGCTTCCACTTTCAAATAGATTAACCCAATTTGGCGGCTCTGAGGCGGCTTTCCGTTGCTCATTTTCGCGTTTGCCGGCTAATTCAGCTCATTACGAGGAACCAGTGTCTGTGATCTCTTCAGCATGGTAAAAAAAAAACAAAAAATATAATACTGAAAAAAATGGAAGTACTTGGAAATAAGAAACTCTGAATCCAAAGTGAAAAATAGGAGAAAAATCTGGCCTTAAATTGGGGCAATATTCAGGGGAAATTTTAATACAATTTACTTGGAACTTTAGCTAAAAAATTAAAGCTCATTATAGTTTACAAATCGGTAATAAATATTGTTTAAAATTTTAGATAACTGTTTCTGTATGAGATTTAATTATATTTTAAAAATTATTTAATTTAATTAAATTTTAAATTTTTTTTTTTAATATTTAGTTTATATATATTTTAAATATTTTTTATTTTATATATATTTTAAATGTTATTTATTTGAATTACATTTTAAATATTATTTATATTTTATAAATTTTAAATATTATTTATTTTAATTATGTTTTAAAATAATTAATTACATTTTCAATGTTATTTATTTTAATTTTATTTAAAATATTACTTTTTTTTAATATTATTTATTGAGAATGTTTCCCTGAAAATTTTTTAAAATATTATACATAAAAGTTAAAAAATGACTATTAGTACTGACTAACTATTAGTTTTATGGAATCATAAAATTTGCATAAAACTAATAAACATAATAATAATAAATCATAAATAATAAACTTTAGATTGATAAAAACCTCCTTCCAGGTTAAACATACATGCTTTTCCCTATTAGAATAATTATATTCAATTGTAAATGAATTTTTCTGCAAGTGTCTAGATCCCATTTGAATGGGAAAAGCGAGACGAGACTGAGACAAGACCGAGACCAACTGAGAACTGGCTGGGAAAGTCGGCGAATCGATTGGGGAAAACCGAACCATGCCAAAGAAAAGTGCAGCAGCTTGTCTGTGGATATTTTCCTTTATTTCTACCTTCTGTCTACGAATGTCTCATTTAGCTCTGGACGTGAGCCAAGCGAATGGCGGACAATGGAAGTGGTCACTCCGAATTGGCATTGCCAAATGGCAAAAAAAAAACAACAACAAGCAACAAAAAGCACTAATAATTCACAATTCCAATGCATTGTCTTTGCCTTTTGTCTTTGTGCAATCGAAATTCGCATGAAGCGATTTGATTGATTTGTCAAGCCAGGTGATGTGTGAGAAATACAAAGCAATAGTTAAACTTTTTTATTATTATTACTGTTTTGCTATAGAGAATTCATTTCGCCAAGAAATCGAAACGGGCAGTGAGGAAATCCCAAATTTATAGGTTTGATTTCGCGAAAAAAAAACTTTTATTTCAAAATTTGATGTGAAAATCATTTTGAATATATGTACATGTATATGGATTTTTCATTTAATTTGTGCCTTCTCTTTTGGCTTTAATTAAATCAGTTTGGGAAATTCTGTGTAATTATGATGAATTATTATAATAAACTATATTAATTTTCTTACTTATTTTATTTTAATAAAGATCTCATACAGGATCACCGAAATTAGCTCCACTTACTTCAATTTATCGGTCGAAATGCCACTTGCCAAACGAAAGACTTAGGCAACAAACTTGCCACCGATGGCTAATGTGCGATTGCAGGCACACCGAAAATGTGTATATAAATTTCCTTAGCCAATTTTCGCATGGCAGCATAAAATAGTTTCCTGTTTGTTACGACGGACCCAGCAACTTAACTTACAAAAAAGAAAAAAGGGAGGAAGCCGATCCGATTCAAGCCGAAAAAAAAAAAAATTAAAGCTGGGGCAAGAAAATACAACAAAAACCAGCAGCGCATAAAATTTCCGCTCTCTTCTGTGGGGGCATTTTCAGCCTAATGTTGTCCGGTGCACAGTGAGAAAATTATAAGTAACTTAACAAAAAAAAAAACAAATTCTTATGTAAAAAGTAAATAGAGCTTCATAGTATTTTTTCTTAACTTTTAAACATTTTAAACGTTAAAATAACCAAATAAAATACATAAAAAAATTAAGAATTAATTAAATTAAGAATTAAAAATAAATCAATATTAAATAAATTTTTTTCCGGTAGTTTACTATTCTGAATTATTCGTTTTAAATGATTCTAAAAATAAAAATAAAGAAATAAACTCTATAAATTAGAAAACTACATATAAATACACATTAAAAGTTAATTATAACTTATGAATTTTTAATATCTTCTCTTTAACTTTTCACATTTTGAAAGTTTACCCCTAAATTTGCTCTCAGTGCCCTGCTGCATGTAATTAGTGGCAACTATTTATGATCGTTTTCTTTTCAAAGAACTTTTCGTGGAGCCATGCAATCCTCATTGCTGATGCAGAACAGGGCCAACAATGGCCATAAATTCAACAGACGGGAAATACTGTCTGGAACCCAACGGTAAAGTGCAACAGAAATCAACTAGAAATAATAATAAAAATAATAATAAAATAAATACAAAATAAAAACAACTACAAGCGGCATGCATGACACAGTTTTCGGGAGCAGCAGTAACAGCAAACTCCAAATCCGAAAACTCCAGCTCTTTTGTCATTTTTCCGGACTAACCGGCGACAGCATCAAGTTGCCAGTTATGGTTCATGGAACGCCAGACGCTGACCCAATCCGATACGGGGACAACAACATACTATATACTATCTATATATCATTTGTGAGCTTATGAAACCTTCTGGTCTAACCCAGTTACTCAGTGATGAAGAGCACACAGAATATATATGATTTCCTCAGCATTTTCTGCAGACCTATATATATTTCTCTTGAATGAATTTCCCAAGAATCTAGAACTCGGAGACCATCTCCATCTGAGCTTTCCACGCTTAATGGCACGGGGTACAATTAACCAAGAAGATTAAAAGTAATTCCCCCTTTTTAATTGTCGTCATGCCGTCTCGCGAGTAATAGAATGTCAAGAACAAAAGGAAATTTAATTAGTTTGAGCTCGTTTTTATGGTCTCTTTTCCAGGTAATTATAATTTCTTTATGGTGAACTCTCCAGCTAAGAAAATATTCATATATCAAATAAAATAATTGTGTAAATAAAGAGAGTGCATTGGAATGGCATTGAGAGGCAGCGAAAACAAATTACGCTTAAATAATTCATGGAAAATTTTCCAGCATTTAGCAGACATAATGCCCATTTGCATTTGATAATATGCGTTGTGGTAAACGACCTTGTTCCTCCACCAATCATCAACAGCCATCAAGCAACAAGTCAACAATCAACAACCAACGAGAGTTGATTGTTTGCTGGCTCTTCAATTGCTTGATTTAAATTTTAAAATCAAATGGAATTTTAAATTAAAGGCACAAACGGAAAAAATTAACTTAAATATTTAATATAACTAAAAACCTAAAAATAAATATTAATAAAATTTATTTTTCTTACATTTCTTCTATCTTTACAAATCTTTTAATGTTTTCATTTCATTAAAAAAAAATTATACCCGCTGTTTTAAAAATCTAAAAAAAATAAATAAAATATTTTTAAAACATCGAAGACTTTTCACATATTTTTAAAAATATTTTATTCATTTTTTTATGATTTAAATCCTCAGCAAATCTTTAAATAGTTTAATTTCATTACAAAAAAAAATTATACAAGCTGTTTAAAAATATAAAAGAAAAAAACAAATAAAATATTTTTTAAAAAATCTGAGACTATACATATTTTTTGAAATATTTTATGAATTTTTTTTTTACATTTCTTCTATCATTAAAATAACTATCCTTAAAATCCTCAGCAGTTTTTTTTTTATTTAAAGAAATAAAATATATATTATATAAATATATCCTAATATCAAATATATATGTATACATATATATATATTTCTTTTAGTGCAAAAAAAAACCAAATTTTTTAGCAAAATTTAAATATATTTCCATTGCTATTTGGCGCCTGGCATTGGTGGAATTTTATGCACTTTAATTGTAGAGTCTTAGTCATACATTTTTGGAGTTGGACTTAAACTCTAAACTGTATGATTTGACTTTTGTTTGCCGTGTGTGTTGTGTTGTGTGGTGTTGCCCCGACAATTCGTGTCAATGTCAGCATGATTTTAGTTTTTCTGATCTGCTCTTGCTACGGGGGGAGGCGAAGGGTAGACAGGTGTTAATGCCTCGGCAAACGAGTTTAATCGAAACATGCATAATACACGCACCGAAAATGCTAAGAAACTGGATGCAGCGACGCACACTTGAAGAAAAATCGTGTGGGAATTGCAGCCTTAATTAGTGCTCATAACTCAGTCAGTTGGACACATTTTTGAGCCGCAGAAATATGCATTTTTGAAATAGTTTCGCAAAGCACTAAGGCTGACACAGAAAAAAATAAATTCAACAAAAAGTAAACAGTAGCCGAAAAGCACAGCATGAACAGCAGAAAAAAATCATAAAAAACAATGCGAATGTGGGGAAAAAAACAGAGACTTGAGGTAAGTAGAGTCACCTCCAGCTGGAGCTGTGTGTTGTGGCTGCTGTGTGTTGTGTGTGTTGCCGCTTCTTCTTCATTTCGCTTATTTCGGACCCGGCTCACGGTTTTCACTTGAAGCGCGTGAAAGTTGCGCTTCACCACGGCGACAGCAGCCGCATCACACAGGGAAAAATATTATAAACCTTTTTTAAAGGTCTTTTTTTAGTTTAAAAAATATAAAAACAAAGCGCCAAACATCATGCAAATTACATTTATATAGTTTAAAATTGTTTATAATTTATTTCTTGACCAAATTTCCATAGAACCTTTAACTTAAATTCTTAAATATAATATAAATATAATAAAAAAACAAAACTTTACAAAATAAATTTTGAAGGCCATTTTCATTTAAATAATAAAGAAAAAGCGGCAAACATCATGCGGATTACAAATACTATACCTAATATAGTCTTAAATTTTTTATAGTTTATTTCTCAAACTGATTTCCATAGAAAAGTCTTAAATTTTAATATAAAAAATATAAATGTTTACAAAATAAATTGTTATATATTTTATTAAAGAATTTAATGCAAACCACAGACTTTTCAAGCAAAATAAATTAAAGATACTTTCAGTAGTTAACTGTTTTTTAAGAAATAGTTAATTTAATTTATTTATATAGAACCTTTAACATTTAAATAATTTAAATAAACAACATAAAATATAATAAAGAATTTAAATACAACCCAAAAACTATTCGAGTAAAAAAAGAAAAACTTTAAGATACTTTCAGAAGGTAACTAGTTTCTAGAAAACAGTTAAAAATTTAATTGATTTATTTTTTATTTTAATTTTATAGGTTTTTATGTGACTAAGACCTACGACTCTGTTTTATTATAGTTTAAATTTTATGAGCTCGGTTGATGGATTTTGGGAATAACAAAAAAATTTAATTTATATTATATATTTTGTAAGTAATTTATGTTTTTAAAAAATGCTAACTAAGATCTTCCCAAATTACAATAAAAGAGAGTTAAAAATCACAGATTAACCCTTTGAGCTTCTACGGATATAAAGCCTTATCCTAATTTTATATATTTAATATTTTACAATTAGGCATACAGAATAAATGTTATATATTTTTTTAATATTTAATACTTTCTTGTGTAAAAAATTATAGCCAAATATCCTAGTTAAAAAAATATATAATAAATCTCATAGTTTTAAATGACAAAAACATTTTTATAAAAAATTTATAAAAAAAAGGTGTGACAAAAAGCTGTCCACTCACAGGGCCAGGCCCAAAAGGCCAGGTAATTAATGCAACTCGAAAAAAAACTAAGGAAAAACCAATGGAAAACCACACTGGCACACCGAAACAAAAAACAAATCACAACAAATACGCACTTTTTTTCGTGTATTTTTTTTCTCTCACCAAAACAAAAACACAAATAAAACTGTTGCGCAAAGCAAAGCGAACCGAGAAATGTTGTTGCCGTGTATTTGTATCTCTTAATTTTAATTTTTTTTTTTGTTTTTTGTATCTTTTTTTCTATCTTTATTTTGTGCAATGCAGACGACGACGTCGACGGCGGCGGCTCACGACTGCTGCACTCACGTAACGGAACTGCAAGTGTGCGGGCGAAAAACGGGGGCTGAATATATTACGGATCGATTCCAGAACTGCGAACCTCGAGCCGTTGCGGCTGAAGATCAACTGAAGAAAACTTCAGGCCAAAAGCCCGGCTCAAGCGAGGCCAGCCGAAGTCCCAGCAGAAGCCGAAGCCGAACCCGATCACCCACGATTGCACAGTGAAGCAGATTTAAACGTAAACCAAAGAAAATTTAATAAAATTTATAATATAATATTTAATCGAGTTTTTGGATTTTATCAATTATATTTAAGTTAGAAATTAGCTTGATTTTAGTTATCTTTTTACGTATATCAAATATGTATCTTAATTTATAATTTGTTTAACATAAATTTAAGAATAAACTTAAGTTTTGAAAATTTTTCAGGTATTTTCAAGCTTTAATTGTCGTCGTTTTCAATATAAAAAAAATTATATACAAAAAAAAATATAAATACATAAATTTATACAATATATTAATACCTAAATTTACTTATATAAAATATTTATCTTAATTCATAACGTTTTTTTTTTTTTTATCGGGCCACAAAAAAGAAAACTGACAGAAAAAAACATTAAACCAAAATGTATATTTTTTTTTTTTTATTTATTTATTTAAATCTACGAAACTGTTTTAACTATAAATGAAGAATATAATTTTATAATCTATATATTTAAGAGGCCTCCGTATATAAAAATATATAGTTATCCGATAAAAAAACAAGACATAGCCAATTGTATACAATGTACCCGCTTCAAGTTCTGTGGATTTATGCTGTTTTTGTTGCTCTTATTATAATACTTGCCCCACTGTGCAGTGGCCCGCTATAATATCTGGCCGATCGGCCAGAAACGAGAGTATTGGCGGCACATAAAGATCTTATCATATGGCATGTGGGGCATGGCATTCTTCAGGCTCCCTCCATATAGCTCTCTCTCCCTCTCTGGTGCCACTCCGCTTCCCACCCACCTGGTGTGGCTTATATTAAAACTGGGTCAGCTGTGCCGGAGGGTATTCCCCGCCAAGCACTGCCAAATTGGCATTCTGAGGCTTACTCTCGTCAGTGTGTGTGTGTACAATAGTTTTTTTTTTTTATTTCTGGTACGTTACAATTTCAAATAGGTTTTTGCTGGGCGCTGCACTAACTCCTGCTGCTCCTGCTGCTGCCTCTGCTCCCTGCTGTCGATCCAGTGGCAAGTCAATGCGGACTGAGGGCTTCTCTTCTTTTTTGCTCGCTTAACATTTAAGAGTACAAAAATACATTGACTTTGTGATTACAACAATCCCCTTCCCATACTGTTTCTCTCTCTCTCTCCGCATCTCCCTGTCTCTGTTGGGTTACATTTTTAGCCATGTCTCGCAGGCGCTTACATATTGTTTATATTAAAATAAAAATTAAAAATCATAAAAAAAATAATGATTAAAACGGGAAATATTTTAAGAAGGATCCAGAAGTAAAATTTATGCAATAGGCAACAATTACAATTAGAGCTGGTGGTGCTAACGCCTCCCCCCCTTCTGGCGGCGGTGATCTCTCTATGTCGTCTCCCTATCTTTGCATCTAACCCTCCTGGCCAAAGTCCTCTGTGAATTTGCGCAGCTTCTTCAAATCATCATCGTTCACCGTGGGTTTCGTGCGCGACAAGGACTTTAGCATGTCACGCTGCAAGCGCAAAAGAAATAATTATTATTTAAGGGGAAAATAAATGAAGAAATCAAAGGAAACTACCATGGTTACGGGCGGTTCAAAGAGCTTATCGCTGGGCACATCCATCCAATTCATTTCAACGGCTCCCTCGTCGCCGGGCGAGCAGGGAACCAGCAGATCATTGACAATCTCATCCTTGTTGGTGGGGCTGGGGCCAGTTACCTTCTTGAAATGCGTGGCCGTTTGCACTTTACGCACTGGTTCCATCAGGGCATCGCGCACCACAATGGATATATCCGCGCCAGAGTAGCTACAGGTAAGAAAAAAAGATCGTTTAGTTTGAATTAAAGAACGAAAGAAAGCCAAAAGAAGCCTCTTCTCCATTGGAATAACCATACCCATCGGTCTTGCCGGCCAATTCCTTGAGATCCTGTTCGGTCAGGACGTGTGTGGTGTTGCCCAAATGGATCTTGAACATGACAAGGCGGGCATGTGCCTCCGGCAGGGGAATGTAGATGCGCTTCTCGAAACGTCGCCGGATGGCCGAGTCCAACACCCAGGGTATATTGGTGGCGCCCAGCACGAGAATGCCATCGGTATCATTGCCAACGCCCTGCATTTGGACCAAAAACTCGGTCTTGATGCGACGCACACTATCGTTCTCATTGTCCGATCTCGCCGAGCACATTGAATCGATTTCATCGATGAAAATGATCGAGGGCTTGTGCTGGCGTGCCAGCTCGAAGAGATTCTTGACCAGCTTCTCGGACTCGCCCAGCCACTTGGACATTAGATCCGAGCTGGATACCGAGAAGAATGTGGAACGATTGGCCTCGGTGGCGACGGCCTTGGCCAGATAGGATTTACCCGTACCGGGTGGTCCAAACAGCAGGATACCCTTCCACGGTATACGCTTGCCGGTGAAGAGTTGCGGGAATTTGATGGGCAATATGACGGCCTCCTTTAGTGCCTCCTTGGCGGCATCTAGGCCAGCGACATCGGACCATTTAACCTCCGGTTTCTCAATGACAATGGCACCCTCCAGTTTGCTCTGCAACTTTTTCTTTTCGGGATCATCGCCATCCTCGTCATCGCTATCGCTCTTCTTGTCCTTGTCATCCTTGGCACTGGACTCGCCACCCTCCTTGATTGGTTTCTTCTTGCCCTTCTTCAAGTACTCCTTGAGCTTCTCGGCCCGATCCAGATACTGCAGGCACTTGGCCCGTATCGAGTCCTTGGCCTTCTCGCCCTGAGCCTCATCTGTGGGGTATTGGGTGAGAATTTGTAAAGGTTGTAAGGAAAGAATCTCGGTATGATCACTCACATTTAATGGTGTGCAAGAAGTACTCCACGCCGTGCTCGTACAGACGCAGTGCCTCCGCATAGTTCTTGTTGCGATCCTCTTCGGTGGCCTTGGTCACCAGATCAATGGCCTTCTGTAGAGTGGTTCCGGCTGCCATCTTGCTGGAGGAGTAGATAAAACAGGGAAGACATACGGTTAGGGTGGATAAAATGAATGTTAAGAAAGAGTTTTAAGTTAATTCCAGCAGAGTGACGTCACCTTGGGTTTATATATATATGTATATATATTTATTATATACTTTTAGGGGAACAGGCGCCTCCCCTTTAATCTTGAAGCATCTAATTAATCCCCTAAGAAAAACCTCGACTTCAGTCTCCGCCTCCCAGGCTCACCAGCCCCCTGGCAGCGGGCTTGGAGCTCTTCGGATATTGGTTATCCAATCCCCTGAAAGAATCCTCCAACATCCCGGAGGCAGGGTCCTGCGGTGACGCAGTTCGCATAGCAAAATCGAATTTCTGTGCATGACTAATACTCGCTGCTCTGCTCTGTCCAGCGGCGGCGGCGGCGGCGGCGGCATTGACAAAAACAAATTGCCAAGGCGGTGACGCTGCTGCTGCGATGCGCTTCTTGCCCGGATTACTCACATTTATGCTGGCTGACTTGCTCCGAAATCCAGGCAATCTGTCGCTGGCTATCTGGCTGGCAGGTTCGACAGGTGTTAAACAAAACGAAAACTTAACTATTTTGGTGGAATTCCAACGCGAATGACGACGTCTTGTTTTTTTTTTTATTTGCAAGTGTGACCGTTGCAGGTTTGGCCAAAATGCCACAATTTGCGCAAGCGCCAGGACTTTTCGATTTATGATTTTTTAATATTTAAAAATGATTGTTTTTTGCCTTAACCTTTGTTCAATTTTAAAATTGAAGTGCTAGTTAATAAGTGTTAGTGTGAATTTTACTTAAGCAAAGATTTTTAGTTGCTCTAGAAGCCTGATATTTACATTATTAATTTATTTTGCTATTGTTTTTATATGAAAGTTTAAAAATTTTTGTATTTTGCATTATTTTAAATATATTTGTAAGGGGTATTTAGTTTATTCCAAATTTGCACCTTTAAAAACAGCTATTTTTTTAAATTATAACAAGTTGGCAGCGCTGATCCGACAACAGCTGACCGGAAAGCAGCGCAGCCAGCGCCGACAGCAGAATCAAAAAGCTCAGCACAAACAACACATAACACAAACTATAATAATATCAAATATAAAAATTAATTTAAGCCACTAACAACATCCACGAATAATACTAAACAGTGGCCATGTCGGACGACAAGATATTCATAAGGCGCGACGACAACAAGGAGGCCACCCACAAGAACCAGGAGGTGGACATCTACCGGGACACCTTCATCCGCTACATGGGTGAGAGAAACGCGGCAAGAATTCACCGATTCACCGATGACTGACGATGGTACCGGGTTCCATAGGTTATAGCAACGAGATTGGCGAAGCCTTTCGCCCGCTGGTTCCCAAATCTTTGGTGGCAGCCACCTACGGCATGGCCATTGGTTACGTCTGCACAGATACCTTCGACAAGGCGCTGCGCCTACAAATGGAGGGGGCATCCACCAAAGAGGTGGTCATCAGGGGCGGCGATGTCTTTGCCTGGCAAATGATGGCCTCTGTGGCCATACCGGGATTGGTCATTAATAGGTGAGGTTTATGTTTATAATTATTATTATTTATTATTTATAATTTCACAGAATCACCTGGGCCACACGTTCTCTGCTAACCCGGGCCCCCGTGGCCGTGCTCAAGACCGTGCCCACGCTGGTGGGTCTGGCCAGCATTCCGTTGATCATCCATCCCATTGACAATTTGGTGGATCGTGTTATGGATGCCACCTACCGCAAGGTGGTGAGATAGTCGACAACTCCTTGGAGGATCATCAATGAGGACCCGCCAGCCCCTATTCTACTCTCCCGGTGATAGATGTTTCCTTTTTCCAGGTTCTAAACCGTTTGTATTAACCGTAGAAAAGCTAAGCTTTAACGCAAGAATCCAGCTATCTTTACATTTTGTTTATTGCACTTTTTTGGGGGCGCGGTGCGGGGGAAAAACAATTACAAAAATAATCCTTTATACATAATATATATAATAATAATATTGAGGCAACAGGGTGGAATGCCATGCGATCCCAGAGAGAGAGACCTCCCTCTCTCTCTAGTTCTGCTCCTCATCGGTATCGATCAAATAGGGACTGTCGAGGGCGCCAAGGCCAGCGGCCACACCGCCCTCATTGGCTGTTGAGAGCTTTGTGCGCAGCATATGTCCCGCCTGATAGTTGTGGACAATATGCTCGGCATCCCCGATCACCACTCCAAAGATGCCCAGCTCGGAGACCATTTCAACGATCTGGGGCGGCATATCGCCGCCAGGTCGCACCATATAGCCCCTGGTTAGCGGTGGGTGGATGAGGTCCATCAGGATCCAGGCGGAGCGCTCCACGCGCGACATGCGCTATAAAAACAAGAAGATTAAAAATAATATTATATTCCACAAACTTTGGACATTCCTAAAAATTATTAATAATAAACTTAAAAATATGATAAATAATATAATTATAAAATATACAATTTAAATATACAATACAATATATACAATTTAAATATGGAATTATAATTGTATTTATACAAGGTTTATTTCTATTATCCTAGAAAATGTTAACATTTTGTAAACAAATAAGATATAAAAACAATTTTTAACGCAAAAGCTTTACTTAAAAATATTTAATAAGAGGTTTAGGAGGTATATCTCATACTCTTACTCAAAATTCCTAAAGATAATAAAGCTTAGCTGTCAATTATTGCCATGAAACTATAGTATTAAATAAATTATATATAAATAAATCAACTTTCAAATATAAATTCCCGGCTTAACTCACCTTGAGTGCATCCGGAATATCCACGCCGTAGACATTATTGCCGCCACCTTCGCGCTGTGGCTTCAGCACAAACTTTTCAGGAGTACGCAAAGCCATCTCGTAGGTGGCATTGCCCGCCTCATTGTCGTCCAGGGAATACAGACCCGTAAATATCTTACCCACGGCTTTAATCTCATCCGGATCATTGATGAAACGCTCTAGAACGGCCGGCTGGGCCAGAGCCTGTTGCACCTTCTTGGTACCGGCCAAATGGTAATGAATCGATGGACACTTGATGGCCAGCGATGTCTCCATCAGATAGCGGGCATCCCACTCAGCCTGCGAGTGATAGTGTCCGGGCTCGTAGCCAGCACGGAAATAGATGACGGCCACCTCTTGATTGCCACTACAAAAAAAAGGGAGATGAAATAATTGCAAAGACAATACAAAGAAAAATCATCTGACGCTACGCATCTTGTAGAGTTAATGCTAAAGAAATCTATCTCACTCTTACAGTAGCAACTCCTTGGACTGGCCCAGCTTGCCCTCCTTGTGGACTTCAGTGAGGGTGCGGCGCAGCACCTTGATGTGCGGATAGGTTTCCCGGATGTAGAACTCATGGAAACGCTGATCGCAAATGTTATAGGACACATCCTCGATGATGAACAAGATGACAGCCTTGGGCTTGGCATAAATGTCCCAGGCCTTGACCATGCCATCGCAGAGTCCAGCAAGGGCATTGTTGCTAGGCATCTGTTGGAAAATATAGATTAATATTAGTAAAGCAATTATAAATCTTAAGGAATATCATTTTTTCAAAGATTTTTTTAAAGAATTGCTAACAAAGACAATACAAACAAAATTGCATAGCGTTACACATCTTATAGATATTATTGTCTTGCTTCTTCTCTTCGAACAAAGACCTTTTCAAGTACTTTGGCTTACAATTCTAGCATTACAACAAAAAATCTTAAATAATTAATAATTAAAGATGAAAAATACTTACATTATGCAACTTATCCGCATGTCCCAGCTCACTAAGTACAAATCTGCAAGTGGGAGACCACGACGACGAGGAGGAGCAGCCGGAACAGAGAGAGACAGGTTAGCAAAATTCCGTTATTACCTTCTTACCCAAACAACAACAACAAAACAACAGCAACAAACAACAACAAATGTTTCGGTGTATGGAGCAGAATGGAGGTAAAAACACCCACGGGTGACAATGAGAGGGGGGGGTTATAGTAGAATTACTGGGGAGTTACATGAATATGTTAAAGCTACAGCAATGCGGATAGAGACAGAGACAGAGCGATATATTGAGAGAGATTCTAGTTTAAAACCAATTATAAACCGCATGCAAATCAAAGACAACAACCAATAGAAAGAGATAGAGAGATATATTTTTTAAAACATGATCTGCAAGTGCGATCAGTGATCAGTGATCAATAAAAACTGATCCAGTGCGTGCGTAGGTGAGGGGAAGGAATGTTCTTAAGTGTGTTTTGTGTTTGTGCATTCGTGCGTTTGATAGAGAGAGTGAGTTAGTGTGTGAGAGAGAGAGAGAGAGAAGAGCGCTTAATACTTCTGCTGCGGCACCAATTGGGTGGCAATGCCAGCGAAACTGGAGGCCACCGTGTTGATCTCGACCTGCTTTATCGCACAGCCCTCGTACACGTGTGCCATATAGTCGGATCGCAACAGACCGATGCTATAAGCCTGCAATTATGATCATTATACATTATATATACATTAGGTGCGTCACAGCAGCAAAACCCTTAAACGTAACTACATAATACAAGCGGTTTGGTTATCAAAAAAAAATTATATATATAATATATATAATAAGGTAAGGTAAGGTAAGGTGTAGGGCAGGGAAGGGTTCGATCGAAGCTTATCGATATAAAAACAGAAAACTTTAATTTTTGAAATGAAAAATCGATGAAAAGTCTCGATTATTTCGTTAATAAGGTTTAATATCTATGTTTATTGATTTAAAATAGATTTTGCACACAAAAAACTACTATTACAAAGAGAATTCTTATATTACAATAAGAATTCTTCAGGCAAAGCTTTAAAAAGATACAAATAATTTTGATTTCAAGTTAATTAAGAATTATTCAGGCAAAGCTTTAAAAAGATACAAATAATTTTGATTTCAAGTTAATTTAAAACCTTATCTGCTACATTGCTATTTCACAATGTAATTATGAGTAACGAGCTTTTATTTTTCGCTTTTTTATCCCGTCATCATTAACAGCAGATGGCCCACACTCGGTGGCTCTAATCTGTTCAAAATTATGTTTACGTCATGGCAGCCCAGCAATTGTATAAACAAATTGACAAACAAATTGTTAAAACCAGATATTTTTTATATTTTATAGGAATTTCCAGCTAAGCAGGTGGAATTAAGATGACAGAGATCAGTTTCCTGACTTCCCAGAGTTTGTAATTAAAAACTAAACAAATATATGTGAATGTATGCGTGTAGTTTTGCACCTGAAAGGTGCACACCCGTGTTATCATCGCCCGGCTCCGCTCTAACCAAACAATTAGCTGGCCTAAACGTATCTATATCAGACCCATATCCCTATCTCTCGGTAGTACTGCTGTCAGGGGGGGGGGTCCAAAATTTGCCCTTTAAAAGTGTGTAAAAAAAATAATATTTAGTTTCCTGGGGAGGACAACTTTTTTGGAATTTAATTTATGCTATCTGCATAGAAAAAAGCTTTGATTGATTGATTAAACAGGAAATCTAATCTAAGGCAAGTCCTAAAAGCATTTATAACAATCGGAATAATAAATACAAAATACTAAAACACTTAAATAGATTTATTACTAGATTATTCTTGAACTCAAAAGCATTTTTAGTTTTATTTATAAATACTTTCAGACACCTTCTTTTGGTATTTCTCTTTTTAGAGCCTTGGAATCTTACTAATAAATCTGTTCTCTTGGTCAAAGGGTACCCAACTAGGAGACAATCACTGGGGGGGGAGAGGGTGGCTTTGTGGATTGGTTGTTACCTGCTTGGGTTAGATCGGGAGGAGCAAGTACATAGCAGGTGGCAGAAGGCAGAAAAAGCACAAGTCAGCGGATCAAAGGTCAGGAGACGGAAGGCAACAGGCAACAGGCGGCGGCGGTTTAAAAGAATTCACAATAAAAACTACGCAACATTCTCAAGGATTATAAAAAGCATTCAGGCATATTTTCAGCAGCTACATACATACAAATATATATAATTTATATATATATATACAGCTGTGTTCACTGAAATAGCAGTGCCCCACGACCTGCACGTTTAAGATTGGAAAATACTATTACAAACACTATTTTCATAAAATTTTTTTTTCATAAAGGCTTAGTGTATTTAATTATTAACAATACCACAATCATTTAATTTAGGTAACATAAACCTTATAGAAGATATAGCTAATAACAACAAACAAGGTCTATATTATGCCGATCATTGAAATAGCAGTGAAAAACTAAAATTCTTCATAAATTTAAAAATATCGTATAAGAAACCTATTTCTTCTTAAATTCTAATTGACTATGATCTAATATTTTGTTAAATAGCATTTAGAAGCTATCATAGCCTCATACCTGGGTGGCATGGAGTCCACCAAGTCTTAGCAACGCTTGAGGGGAATATGGCCTCATTTCTCTTGCACAAATTGCCAAAGCTGCGGCTTAGAAGTCGGAAACTTCTTTAATACGTAGCCCTTGATGTCCCCCATAAGTTTTCGATCGGATTTATATCCGGGGACTGTGCAGGCCATGGCATTGCATCCACTTTTTCATTAAGAACCCACTCCTTGGCCACCTTGATGGTATGATTAGGGTCACTGTGCTGCTGAAATGTCCAAATTAATGGCATATTTTCATCAGGATACGACTGCAAGACAGTTTTTAATATTTAGACATAAACATAACATAGTGGCAGTTCAAGTGGCTATTGGCGAACTCGGATCTGGCCTTGATATGCCTTTAACCAAGCAGTGACATTTTTCATGGACTTCGCGAATCTAAAATTTATTCAATAAGTCCCCGGCGAATGGTCCCATGACTGATTCCTATGCCAATTCCCGCTCGTATATCCCTAGAGGATGCAAAAGGACGAGCTTTGCTGAAGCGAAGTACGCGTCGAGCCTGTACAATTGTGGTTTTGCGAATCGTACCTCGGTTTTTTTGGGTTCGGTTCATATTTCATGACTTATAAACTATTTTAAAAGAACAATTTGAAAGATTTAGAGACTCTTTACATGTTTTGCCCTTCTTTCTAGGCTAAGTAATCTGATACCTTTCTCTCATGGAGCAGTGAGGTCCTGCGCCCACAAAAATATTTTTTTTTGCGTTGTAAAGGTGTATTATAGTATAAACTATAATAACGACCGTAATTAAACTCATTTTTTACAAAATTAAAAGAAATTTCGGCACTTTTTGCGAAAGAAAATTAAATACTGCTTTTTCAGTGATCGGCTAAAAAGAGCTGCATATGTGAAAAAATATCAATAAAACATAAAAATAGAGCAAATCTAACGGAAGTTTTTCTCGATTCTTATCTTTAGGTTCCATTTTACAAAAACAATGTGCAATAGATCAGCTTGCAAAAAGGAATATGTACAAAAAAACGTTTTGAAGTTGTTCCTTTGTCGCACTGCTATTTCAGTGAACACAGCTGTATATATAAAATTGGAAAGAACTCATCAACACAGCAATTAAGATACAAGGACACTACAAGCAGCACTACAGCACTCGCACACACACAATAACACAAGATGATAATATATATAGTTGAATTTAATAATTAAAAATATTTCTGTTTCACTTTTAACCTAATTATTCAATTAAGAGATTTCAACTTTAGCAATTTATCAATAAAAAACTTGATTTTTCTTAATTAAAATCTTTTAAAACTCATCTCAAAAACAATGTAAAGGATCGTCTCTGGATCTAAGTGTTAGTCGTGTGTGTGTGTGGTTAGGCGGAGGATAAAAGCGATGCAGATATATATGCTATGATATTGGTTGAGATTGGGTCATAGGATGATGATATATTTGGAAGTAGAGTTTGAAAAGTATCAATGTTTATCGAAGGAAAAACGATATGTTCTAATACAAAAACATTGAGAACTTTTTTTTCATTAAAAAAAAAATATATTTATTATTTTGTTTATAATTACAAAAAAAAAGTTTTTCCACTAAAAACAAATTTTATCTACACCAGAACATTACAAGCTTCAATTATCATAGTGATAATAAAAAATATCGAGGTTTATCGATTTTAAAAAGATTTTTCTTATGTATAAAAACATAAGTAAGCTTCGGTTTATCGCTTTATGATACATTTTTGCACACAAAAACATTAAAAATTAAGATTAAATTAAATTTGCAATAAAAAATTTAAAACATCAACATTTATCGATTAAAAAATAAAATGTTTTTCTATATATTAAAACCTTAAAAACTTTGATATTTTTCAAGCTCTATTTGAGAGATGGGAGCCAAGAGGTGGTGACAGTGGCAGTGGTGGACACAGCACCTTTGTATGATTTTACTTGCTGGTCCCAAATGGCCAAAGCCCGAAGCTATTGTATTGATCTCGACTTGTTTCCAGCAGCAGTAAGCGGACTGAATGGGATTGGCCGCTTTTCGTTTCAGTTGCTCCTCCTGCTCCGTCGCTGCTGCTGCTGCCTTCCTCCCAGTGCCAGCTGCAGCAGTTCCCACAGAATTCACAGCCAGAGCCACATCCATACCATCCACAGCGGTATCCTCGCCAGCTGCCGGACGCTGGGCCTGCGTTGATAGCTCCGGACAGCAAGACTCCAGCATTAGGTCGCTGCGCAGCATTCCCAGCGATATTTTCTTCGATTCGTTTTATATTTCATGGTAGCAGATATAGCGATGCGCAATGAGTGACGTTTAATAATGGGAGCAACAGATTTTGTGATTGAGATTTCGATATTTCAAGAGTTTTTTTTTACAAAATTGCGTGGTTAGGATTTGGGATTTTTTGGGGACGGGGACGAAAAAAGCAAAAAAAAACTTTTTTTCTGTGCGCACTAATTATTTAATGTTAAATTAAAAATGAAAAATAAAAAATAAAAAAAAGGTACAAGGTGCGAGGTGAGAGGATAGCAAGAGAGATAGAGGGCTAGGCCTTTTCGAGGTCAGGGTTATATATATTTATATATATATATATATATATGTGTCTGTGCTATGCTGCCCTAACCTCTCCCGAGCGAAACAGCAAGATAAGGAGCTGCTAGTGTCCAGGATGCTCGCATAAATCACGCTAGATTAGCGACTATATAACCGGAGACGGAGACGAAGACGAAGACGGAGCCGGAGTTTAGCTATGACTATTGGCCGGGCGATTTATGGGAGGACCGGGCGGATCGGTGCAGGGCATGACGATAAGATTGCGGGGTCCTAATAAATAAAAAAAGAGTTCTCTGGCAAGAAACCCACACTGGCTGCCCTCTGTGTTGATGTGCTCCCGATGGATGGATGATTGACTCAGATGTCGGTTATGCGAATAGGGGCAAAGGGAGGGTCGTTGATGATCGATGGATTGTTTTTCGGATTGAATCTCACCTGGGTAAAGCCGTGAGCCAGAACCTTGCGATATATGTTAAACAGATTGGCCGTAAACTCGTCCACCTTGATTGTCTCCGCCAGGGTTGTGGTGATGAACTCCTCGTCGTGGGCCACATTGTGCATTAATCGGTTAATAATTGGCTGCAGGGCCACTGCCTTTTCAAACTCCTTGCGGGGAAATGACGATGGAACTAGCACAAAGGGCGCGAACTAAACAAATGATCAGGGAGAAAAGAAATACTGCTTAAATCGCTCAAGTTTCTTTACAAGAAATTGTTGTACCTAAGACCTAGCTACTAAAAAGTATAATTTACATTCGAATCACTTTAAAAGCTTTGAAAACTATTTATAAAACCCAAAATAAAATATAAAAGCTCATAGAAACCTACCAAAAAAAAAAATCAATATAATACAAAACTCCTGCTTTCCTTAAAGTTTCTATACTCGTGGCTTGTCTTACGTTAAGTGAATCTGGACTAAAGGCGGTCTTGGAACGCATGGCGGCGCCGTGCATGATGGCATAGTCCTTGGCCTTGGCCACCACCTCCATCAGCTCGTCCTCCGGCAGTGGCAGCCGGATGCAGTTGGGCAAAACGGGTGTATTGGCCTCGCTGGACATGATGATGATGATGATCGAGAACGGTGGAGGATCACTGGACTGCTGCTGCTGCTACAAGACGAAACGAAAGCGTAAATAAGTCCCGCAGCTCCAGGGTAATCTCAAGCACTGGTATGACTGCTCACCGGGACTGCTCGCTGGGCACTGAGGTGTCTAAAGCGACTTGCTCTTTTCTGTGTGCTGGAACAATCTCTATTTCGTCAGCGGCTGTAAAAATGCTCACACGCGCTCCAACGATGGCGACTGTTGTGGTGGCCTTCCGCTCTCGGTTTCCGTGGTGATATGCGTCCTGGATTGGATGGGTGCGCTGGGAATTTGGATACCGGTTTAAATTTCCAAAGAGGTTTTAATTTGGATACCGCCAAGGCAACCGAAAAGTGACACGAAAGGAAAATAAAAATAAATCTCTCGACAAGCCAAAATCTATTAGAGATGGGCGGCAGCGTCCAGCTGTGAGGAGTCGTGAGTCACGGGACCTATCGGACATGAAAGTCTGGCAGCGCCGTTTCAGGAAGCTCTCTTTATAGTGTTATGACACTGCCGCATTCATTAGAGATTTCAGTAAAGGTTTGACAGCTCCATGGGGTTTTACACAAGTGCGAGCGAGATGACTAATGCAATGAGAATTTCACATTGCTGGTTTCTTAAACTGTAGGCATTATAACTTAAAAACATCATTTTAAAGGAGGAATACAGAAATTCATATTAAAACGCTGCGAACTGTGGCCGTTTTTATTGTTTAACTTTTTCCAAAAACCAAAATAATCCAAGAAAAATTACACATATAGTTGTCATTTTCATGTCATACACCCATCAGGGGTTTCTACTTTTTGGGATTTTTTAGGTAGAAAGCCAAATTTGCGTGTGGCAACACTAACTCGTGCAGCAAAAAAAAAAACCAAGTCGGCGAATTTTTTTGCAAAAGAACGGAATATAAACCAATTGATTGTTTTTGTTGTGACTCTTAATGTGGCTTTGTGCAAGATAAACAAACTTAAAGCCGACGATCTTACGCGGCAGTGAAAGAAAACGAAAACTCTTGCTGCTGGCCGGCCCCCTCCCGCCGACGCCCCTTAGCCCCCATCCCCCTCGGACGCGTCGCTGTGCGTGCATTGTTGTTGTTTCCGTTTAGCTGGATTGCACTCGTTTTTTTTTTTTTGCGTGTTTGTTGCTCTCTTTTCGGTTCGGTTTGCGGCTCCGTGTTTTTAGGTGGAATAATATTAAACAGTATTGCTAAGCTATGTCGAAAAACAAGCTGAATCTGGTGCTGCCGCCGGTGAATACGGAAGCAACTGTTGCCGCCGCCCAAGTGGCGCCGACACCGCCGTTCAAAACCCCCTCGGGCACAGAGTAAATATGACATTCTCCTGCACTTGCGTTTTTTTTTTTTTTCAATTCCCCTAACCCAATCCTCTTCCACGTCCTATTAACCCACTGCGCCGCACATTTTTCATTTCCCCTGATTAGATTTTCTATTTACCTGCAATTAATTTTCTCCGATTGATTGATTCGACGAAATTCAATCCCCAAAAAGGACAAGGAGAGCGAGGTACATCGCGTGAGAGAGAGAGGAAGAGAGAGAGCCGTTAGTGTGGGTGTTTTTGGACCGTTCTTTTCTGACATGACGCACGAACACACCCACACCTGTCCACAGTGGGGGGCACAATAATAGATACACTACAGTATAACTGTAACTGTTATAATTGCAATATTTTGACTTTGGCTTTATTTTAATTTAGGAAGAAATGGAAAAATATAATTAAAAAAAAAAATAGATATATACCATCCTCAAAATCCCATTCCATCTACATCCTAATGCCTCCTCCACAGTTTTACATTTTCGTTTTGACTCGCAAAAATTCATTAAGAGGTTAAATTAAAGCACACACAGTTTGCTGGGCAAGCCGAAGACGAGCATCGATGCGCTAACGGAAACGCTGGAGGGCCTGGACATGGACGACACTGAGCGGAAGCGGATCAAGGTGTTCCTCAGCCAAAAGGAGAAGATCGGCGAGCTCTCTGACGAAGATCTTGAGAAGCTTGGCGAGCTGGGCTCTGGCAACGGCGGCGTTGTGATGAAGGTCCGCCACACGCACACACACTTAATTATGGCCAGGAAACTGATCCATCTGGAGGTCAAGCCGGCGATCAAGAAACAGATTCTGCGCGAACTTAAAGTCCTCCACGAATGCAACTTCCCACACATTGTCGGCTTCTATGGGGCCTTCTACAGTGACGGTGAGATAAGCATTTGCATGGAATACATGGACGGCGGATCACTGGACCTAATCCTCAAGCGGGCGGGCCGGATACCAGAGTCCATCCTAGGCCGGATCACTCTGGCGGTGCTCAAGGGCCTAAGCTATCTGCGCGACAAGCATGCCATCATCCATCGGGACGTCAAGCCGAGCAACATTCTTGTCAACAGCAGCGGCGAGATAAAGATCTGTGATTTCGGCGTTTCCGGCCAACTGATAGACTCGATGGCCAACTCCTTTGTGGGCACCCGCAGCTACATGTCGGTAAGTTGTCCTGTTGTAACCTCCTATCTGGAGACCTTTCTAATTATCCTTCTTCCAATCGATTCACTTGCAGCCTGAGCGATTGCAGGGCACACACTATTCGGTGCAGTCGGACATCTGGTCGCTGGGCCTGTCGCTGGTAGAGATGGCCATCGGCATGTACCCCATCCCACCGCCGAACACCGCCACTTTGGAGTCCATATTTGCTGACAATGCGGACAATGATGGCGGCCAGCCGGTGGACGAGCCGCGGGCAATGGCCATCTTCGAGTTGCTGGACTACATTGTGAACGAGCCACCGCCAAAGCTGGAGCACAAGATATTCTCCAACGAGTTCAAGGACTTTGTGGACATCTGCCTGAAGAAGCAGCCCGACGAGCGGGCCGATCTCAAGACCCTGCTGGTAAATGCTCCCAGTCTTTCTCTACTTTGCGGCGCAATTTAACCCATTGTCGTTGTCTGGCTTTTAGAGATAGTTTCCTAGCGGGTTAATGTACTAACGATTTGCATCTGTTGTTCCCTTGCAGAGTCATCCCTGGATACGCAAGGCGGAGGTGGAGGAGGTGGATATATCGGGCTGGGTGTGCAAGACAATGGATCTGCCGCCGTCGACGCCGAAGCGGAATACGTCGCCCAACTAGATGTGGCCGCAATGGATCTCCCGATCCTCCAATCCCCCCCGGATTCCCGATTTTCAGTCTCCCCCCTCCCCCGTTTTCCTATGTATATCCGCTCACGCATACACGTTATTTATTTGAATGTAGCCCATGTACTGTTGTATCATATGTAGCCGGATATATATATATATACGTTTTAGGTGTATATGCATGTTATATATATCCAGTTCTTTCGATTCCTTCCGATGTCTCTGCGTGTGTGGTGCTTCCTCTCCCCCCGCCCCACCCCCCATCGGCTCTTTGTCCAACTTTGCGTTGGAGCCGAGCAAAAACAACTGAATAAAAGACCTTGCAATTAAATCGAAAATAAAGAAATCGAAGTCATACCATGTACATATGCCTTTTTTGTGTTAGTCGGCGGAGAGTTCCTAAGGCAGCCTTTGTTACTGCAGGGGAAGCCACACAGAAAATTAATATAGTATTGAGTTTATTGAGGAAATATCCTGTCCTTCATAGGAAGGATAGATGATATAGTCATCCGATTTTCATAAAAATAAAATCAAAATTATAAAATTAAAGGAAATGCTTGAAATTAGTGAAAGCTAAAGTTTTATTATATTATCTCGATCGTTCCTATGGTAGCTGTATGATTTAGGACTTCTATTTTTTATTGTAATAAAATTTATATATAAGTCTTTTAATTTGAATTTTTACAACTTCGCGCCTAACCCCCCAAAAAAATTACAGTTATGTGGCAACACTATTATCGATTTGCTTAGAATTAATACGCAAATTTTATACAAATAACTCCACAAGTAAAATTCCTTGCAAAATTAGTTGGTTTCTATTTTAAATGACCTACCAACCAGAAGGCTACCTAATTTAAGGTTTATTATAAATATTATTATTAAATCAAGCCCAAAGTCAGTTAACTGGCAACGCCATTAACGGTATTGTTATCGACTTGTCGCCACGGGACGCCAATGGCTTCCATCTCTAGCGCGTGTGTCAAAATAAATAAGTAAGCAAAAATGAAAACAAAAAAAACAAGTGCACTAAAACAGCTGTAGTTAGTTGTATATAAACACAGACAGACTCGTGGCGCAGCGTTTTGATAAGCGATTTACAGTTGCAGAGATCCGCAGCACGCAATTCCGCGGGGGCGTCCAACCAATTAAAAGAAATCAAAGAGCAACGGAGGAAGAGAGGCCTAGCTAAGGAGAGCGAGAGAGAGAGAGAGAGAGGGCGACACAAACACAAACAGGCGCAAATTGAGGCAAAGGCACTGTGTTCTTTGTTGCAAATTATAGTGGGGCCCACCTACCACCGCTCCCCCTCGCCACTGGCCCCTTCCCAGTTCCAGCGCCGCGCCAAAGCATACGCTTCCCGGCCGATCTGGGATCTGCAGTGCGACAGTACGTTCAAGACGGAGCTCCAATGCAGACGTCCCTCTCTCTCTCGCGCTGAACAACTCGCCGCTCTCGCCGACTGCCAATTGGAAGGAGTGCAAGTGCAAGTGCTAGTGGAAGAGGAAGTGGTAGTGGAAGCGGAAGCGGAGCCATGTCGGCGGTTAATCAAAAGGAGAGTCCCAGTCGGGACTCAACGGCCTCGACGTCCGGCCACATCTCCATGCTGGGGGACAACACATTGGAGTCACTCTCCAGGGACTACAGCCTGGGCAGCCTCACTTCGGCCGGCAGCCAGGACGAGGTCTTCCGGTGCCGCGATCACGCCGACACCATCCTCAAGCGAATGCAGCTTTACGTGGACAGCCAACAGCTCTGCGACGTGGTCCTCATCGCTGGTATCGATGGCAAGCGGTGAGTTGGGATCGGGAAGTCCGGAATCTCTAATCGAGACAAAGGAATGGTAATGGACATGGGAATTGGAATTGGAAAGTTCATTAGCGATTCGCTCCCGCTCCCCCATCCATTTACCCAGTGATGCCTCCACCGCCCCCTGCCGCTCCTCTGCTGACCTTTACTTCGGCGCAATTCACTTGGGTTCTTTGTCTGTTTTCCGTTTCTGTTCTCTGTGCTGCTGTCCCCAACGCAATTCCAACAGTAAACACAGACACATACGCACGCAGGGAGAGACAATCGTGGTCAAGTTAATAGCACGGAGGAGCGACACGCACTAAGCCTTAACTAAGAGTTTTTCTAATTTACGCAGAAAAGGTTAGTAGGGAGCGATTTTAAGGGAAAAAAGAGGCTTAAACTGATCAGATATTACCATATTCATGAACAAATTGTAATTACATTATTGTTGATCATGTCCGATTATACATTCTTTACTCATCAACAAGATAAGAAAACGTAGTTGTTTATCGCAATCACAATACACACATGTACATTCGATCCAAGCAAAGTTTGCCAGTTTATTGAACTCATAAATTAATGGTAACTAGAAAAAATATTGAATGGCGCTGAAGCAATACCTGCTGCCATACCTTCCTGGGAAGTGCTACTCTTTTGGCCGTCACTGTGAACGCGTCGCACTAATTGTGACTGCTGCAAAAGTGCAGAGAGAGAGAGCGGAATGGAGTGCACAGAAGAGCTTGAGAGAGGAGAGAGGCTGAGCGGCTGAGAGAGAGAAAGCTTTGTTTTTGTTTTGAGAACAATGGCAATGCAACGCAGCAGCAGCAGCAGCAGCGAAAGATCAATCTCAAAACAAAGACAGCGACGAAGACGCCGGCAGGGAAGAGGGGCAAAAACAACTGCAGCATGAAGCAAGAGAAAAAGAAGAAAAGCAAAGGCAAAGATACATAGATCCAACGATTTCCGATTGAGATTTGTGCCGCGATCCCCAGTGCAGTTGCGGCATTAACATTATTTTATTTCCTCAGCCTGCACTCAACCGGTTTTGCGGATCGTGAAAACCTGCTGATCTGTGCCATGGTAAACAAAGACGCAAGAACGCTATAGTATGTGCACTTACAGTGCGTTTCGAAACTAACAGAGTTGTACGTACAGCTAGGGTCAAAATAATAGGGTAGTTATATATTATTTTCCTGAGTAATGTTCTTTGAAATGGTAACATTTTTGTTACAATTTTGATAAAAACATAACATTTATTAATTACAAATTTAAACATTTGAATATTTCACAGAGTACCCGCCCATCGTTTGGTGCTATCGGCATCCAGCGCCTATTTCTCGGCCATGTTCACGGGATCGCTGCGCGAGACCCATGAGCAGGAGGTGACACTGGGCGAGGTGCATGGCGATGCCCTGCATATGCTGGTGCAATACTGCTACACCGGATTCATTGAGATGCGCGAGGATACCGTGGAAACGCTCCTGGCCACCGCCTGTTTGCTCCAGCTAAACGACGTGGTCACCGCCTGCTGTAATTTCCTAGCCCGCCAGCTTCATCCATCCAACTGCCTTGGATTCGCCTTCTTTGCGGAGCAGCAAAGCTGCACCACGCTGCTCCGACTGGCGCAGGCCTACACCTGCCAGTACTTCATGCAGGTGTGCCAGAACCAGGAATTCTTCCAGCTCAACGCCGATCAACTGGGCAAGCTGCTGTGCAGCGATGATCTCAATGTGCCCTCGGAACAGGATGTCTTTCACAGTTTAATGTCGTGGGTTCGCCACGACTCCACTGTCCGCGAACAGCACATACCGGAGCTGCTGGCCCTGGTGCGTCTGCCGCTTCTACAGCCTACCTTCATCATGGATCACGTGGAGAACGTGTGCAATGCCAATGCCTGCCAGCAGTTGGTAATGGAGGCCTTCAAGTGGCACCTAATGCCGGAGCGTAGGTCCCGCATCGCCACCGAACGAACTACGCCCCGCAAGTCCACAGTAGGTCGTCTCCTGGCCGTTGGTGGAATGGATGCCCACAAGGGTGCCATTAGCATCGAAAGCTATTGTCCGCGTCTAGATAAGTGGACATCGTGGAAGCACATGACCGGTCGTCGGCTGCAATTCGGCGCCGCTGTAATGGAGGACAAGCTGATCTTGGTGGGCGGACGCGATGGACTGAAGACCCTAAATACCGTGGAGAGTCTCGACTTGAATACGATGGCCTGGGCGCCGCTCAATGCGATGGCCACGCCACGTCATGGCCTGGGCGTGGCGGTGCTGGAAGGACCGCTATATGCGGTGGGTGGTCACGATGGCTGGAGTTACCTGAACACTGTGGAGAGGTGAGTGTGGGGGAAGCGAATGGCCCTGCAGGAAATGAAAAGAATCTATTGTAATATGTTTGTTTTATGGCCTTTCAGGTGGGATCCCATTGCACGCACTTGGAGCTATGTGGCACCCATGTCCTCGATGCGTTCCACCGCCGGCGTGGCTGTGCTAGGCGGCCGCCTTTATGCTGTGGGCGGACGCGATGGTTCTGTTTGTCATCGCTCCATCGAATGCTACGATCCGCACACCAACAAGTGGAGCCTCCTGGCGCCCATGAACAGACGACGCGGAGGTGTGGGCGTAAGTAAAAATGGGGGTTATTACAGCTAAATAGAATTTAAGATGTTCTTTTGGGACAATATTTTGGGTTTTCACATTAATACAAACATTAATTCGCCAGGTGACGGTGGCCAATGGCTTCCTGTATGCTCTGGGTGGCCACGACTGCCCCGCCAGCAATCCTATGGTGTGTCGTACGGAGACAGTGGAGCGCTATGACCCGGCCACCGATACGTGGACACTGGTGAGTCCTTTATCCCTCTCGCTGTCCATCTTAAACATGTTTGCTCTTACACAGATCTGCTCACTGGCCTTGGGACGAGATGCTATTGGCTGCGCCCTGCTCGGCGATCGCCTCATTGTGGTCGGCGGCTACGATGGCAATCATGCGCTCAGGAACGTGGAGGAGTACGACCCGGTGCGAAATGGATGGAACGAGCTGGCGCCGATGGCCTTTGCCAGGGCCGGTGCCTGTGTGGTGGCCATTCCCAATGTTATACCGCCAGCGGCCCAGCAGCCGCCGCCCAGTGCTACAGTTTAGTCTAAACCCACTCCACTTTTGGTTGCAGTGTAGTCTCTCGTCCAATGCATTGCCACAAAGGGTTTAAGACCATTGATATCAAATTTGTGAGAACCTTTTTTTTTTTTTTTGAATACTTTTCAAAATTTTTATTGGTCAATGCACTTGGCGAAAATTCACACTGAAACCGGAATATTCTTTAGTAGTTGTTGTTACTGTTGTTGCTGTGAGCTGCTCGCTGCTCGTGTGTTCTTTTAACCCGGCTGAACGCAGCTAGCAGCACCATTTGCCGCCGCCTCGCTCTCGTCTCTGTGTTCTCTGACATTTCAAACCCTTTTGCTATTGTATATGACACTCTACCCAGCCTCCGGATATGGCCTCACTCACTCATTCCCGTAACCATTCCAAAAAGTTCAAGCAAGCAAAGACATTTATAACGAACCAGTGAAATCTCATAAAATATATAAGAAATGCATGCAGCTACTGTGAGGCTTCCAAGCTAAAATCGTTCTCCTCCCTACCTACTTACTTACTTACCTGTAATTAACCGAACGTGTAAACAAATGTTTATAACTTGTAGTTATATGTCCCATCGCCAGCACTCACTCCATGCTTTGCATTACACACCGCATGCGGTGACGGGCACACCAAATGCATTCCAAAATCTCCATCGATATCATCATAAAAGATCAGAGCTCGTAAAGGGATCGTTTAACTTCTTTCGATCAGAAACTCTCTCAGGAGAACGAATTTCGCTCTCGCAATTTAAACGTAAGAAAATGAAAGAGAGAACTTAAGAACCTTCTTTCGATCAGAAACTTAGAAGAGCGGTTTCTCTCTGTAGAGAGAAAACATTCAAAAACTCTCTCAAGAGAACAAAGTTCGCTCTCGCAATTTAAGTAAACGTAAGAAAATGAAAGAGAGAGAACTTAAGAACTTTTAAGTGGCGAGCTCTGGTCTGAATACTATACTATACTATAAATCCTAGACTATATAAGACTGCGCCAAGCCAAAATTCAAAAACTAGAAAAGAAAAATAATGATAATACATTGCATGTAAAGTGTTCATTTCTACTACATTAAAAACAAAAACAAAAAAACGAAAACAATCAAAAACGAAGACATACATAGCTGCGAATGCGCTTAGTTTTAGTTAGTAAATACATGTGTATGTTAACGTATGGCATTATCCAAATGATTTCGATATCAAATTGCATCATTTTTCGTCATTTTTGTATTCAATATATTAGCCAGTAAGTATTTGAAGTATCTGTGTGTGTGTGCGTACAGAAAACGAGCATTTATTTCTAATTGTTTATTATGTTTTTTTATTTCTTTCTTTTTTCCAAACTCGATTCCTCCTTTCCGATTGATTGCATTTAAACGCGCGCGCGTGTGTTCCGTAGAAAAAGAAGAAGTGGAAGCCAGTGAGATTGGATCCAATCTGCTTAAATAGGCGTCCAAGATCTGTCGAGTTTGTCGACTACTATCACATGTAATTGCAAAAAAAAAAAAAAACCAGACAGAACAACAAGCAAGATAAACAAACTATATAAAACTTTAAGCAAAGCTACGAAAAAAAAACACAAAAACAACAGACAAGAAAAATACAAAATATGGATGAGAATTTCAAATATTACGTATTATTTTATATTTACACGCATATACATACATAATATATACAAATACATATATATATATATTTTTACACAAAACATACACTATGCATAAATGTATTTTTTGTACAATAAAGCGATAAATAAATCGGTTATTTCTCCAGAATTTTGGATAGGTGAACATCGAAAGTAAAGGACATTTTTTATTGGGTATTTATATTGCTATATAAAACTAATGAAAGGAATTTAATGAAATATTTTTGCTTATTCCGTTTCACTCAACAATTCATTCTAGTTTTAATATTTTAATACAATAAGTAATTTGTTAAAATATTTTGTAATCTTTCAGTTTAAGTTAACAATTTATTCTAATTTTACATTTCATTTACATTTTTTATTTTAATTTTTTAGCATTAAAAATAATTCATTAAGTCACTTGTATTAAGGCGTTAAATTCGTACTTGGGAATTTTTGGTGCGCGTCCTAGTACGCTTCATATTGATAGACCAGAGAACAGTTCTTCTCATGTTCATTTTTAAAATTTTTGATTCCACATTGGAATATATTTTTAAATATAAATAAAAAAACAATATTAAAAAATATATTTTTATATATATTAAAAATTCAATAAGGCCTATGTAAGTTTGTATTTTCTATTTCTTTATTTTATTTTAAATACTTCAAAGGCAGTCTAAAAATAAACAATAATTTGATTTATGTTAGTTTCAAACATCTTTAATTTGATAAATTTAGATGACCGTTATCGGACAGTTATCGATAGCAGAGCGAGCTAGCAAACAATCTGGCAACGCCGCGCAGAAAAGGCGGCAACGCTACCGGCTAAAACTTACCCGGCAAGCAGTTCCTTGTTTGGACAAAGCAGTTTATGGCGGAAGTCTGGCAACGCACCAGTGCTGCCAGATTATTTAGGGAAAATCCAAATTTTCACCTGGTCACACTGATATTTGTTGCTAATTATAATTAGCAGATCGCAGATTTTTCCCGTGTCCGAAATCGAAAGATCCGCCAACAAAAGACGCGGAGCTGGCGACATGGAAGCGGAGCAACTGAAGCGCCTGGAGGCCAAGGAGGCGGACCACATCCCGGCCATCCTCGACGAGTTCAACACCAAGGTGAGAGAGCACAAAGCTCCCGGATTTTCTACCCTGTAATTACCGGATTTTGTTGCGGCAGAATGCGGATCTGCTGGTCTTCGACAGCTTCCGCACGGACAACCAGTGGCACGAGCTGTGGCTGGCCATCTTCGGGATCCTGGAGGAGCAGCGGCTGAGCCACCTGCACACCCAGTGCCTGAACACAGTGCGGATCCTGACGCGGGACGAGTTCAGCCTGCAGACGAACTATATTGAACAGGAGGTGAACACCCTGCTGAGGCTGGCCAGGATAGAGGCCAGCTCCTTGAAGCTGCCGGCCACGCCGGACGAGCTGAAGCAGCAGGAGCGCGAGGAGCCGCAACTGGAGCCAAGCAAGGCCCAATCGGAGGTTATAGCCGAGGCTCTGAAGTGCCTCTGCAATCTGGTCTACCAAAGCTCCGACTGCCGGCGCCAGTGCCTCAGGCAGCACTGTCTGGACGCCATCCTCAAGCGTGTGGCCAGCTCAATGCGGCATCCCTGCGCCCTGGAATACTATGACATGAAGCTGCTCTTCCTGCTCACTGCCCTGGAGCCGGCGGCACGCTCTCGCCTCCAGATCGATCTCAATGGCCTCACCTACATGACCAAGTGGCTGGACGACAAGCTGGGCGAGGAGGTCGCCGGCGAGGAGCAGCTGAACATCATCTGTGAGCTGCTTAAGGTGATGTTCAATGTGACAAGTGCTCCGGACAAGAGTCCCAACGAGTACGAGATCCAGAGCTTGCATTTGACGGGCGTGCTAAGGGAGCTGCTCCTCCGTTTCGGCGACATGGCCACCGACAAGGAGCGAGCCGTGGTCACGCATGCCATTAATCTGCTAACCAATATCTCGGGCAGCTGCCTCACCGAGCTCACCCTGCGCTGTTCGAATGCGGAAGAGCAGTCACGGGAGCAGGAGAAGGAAACGCAGGCGGAGACGGATAAGGAGACGGGTGCCCGGGCCAAGGCTCCCCAGTGCTGCTCGCAGTGCTACGAGAAACGGAATGTCCGCAGTTTGGCCGTGCTGCTACGCTATCTCCGCCAGTCGCTGGCCCAACAGGAGGCCGAGGCCAGTTCCCACGAGCTGCTGTCGCCGGTGCTCACGGTGCTGGTGAAGTGTGCCCGCAGCGATCGTGTGATGCGTCACTATCTGCGACAGGAGATCCTGCCGCCGCTGCGGGACGTGAGCCAGCGCCCGGAGATTGGCCAAGAGTTGCGCAATCATCTGTGCCGCTTCCTCACACTGCCCGCCATGATCCTGCGCGATCTATCCGCCGAGCTGCTGTTTGTCCTCTGCAAGGAGGATGTGGGCCGCATGATCAAGTATACGGGTTACGGCAATGCCGCCGGACTGTTTGCCAAGCGGGGCATACTCGATTGCCGGCGAGTGGAGGGCGCCGACTACTCGTCGGACAGCGAGGACAGCGACACCGAGGAGTACAAGCAACAGCAGCAGGGCATCAATCCAGTCCTGGGCTGTGTGGAGCCGCGCAGCAAGCCCAATCCGCTGGACGAGATGAGCGAGGAGCAGAAGGAGTACGAGGCCATGCAGCTGGTCAATCTCATTGAGCAGTTGCGTCAGGGCGGCATCGTTAAGCCGGCGCTGATCGACAAGGATGGGCGACCGCAGCCGCTGGAGCATATCCTTCAGCTGCAGGAGGAGCTGCCGCAGCAGCAGCTCGATCAGAAGCGTAAGACCTAAGCTGAAGTTTGCTGGGGTGACAGAGGATATCTAGAGGGCCATGCTATGGCAACGCTTCCAAAACACAGAGCTACCAAATAATCAACGTAAGCATTTAATTCACAGCAAGGCCATAGATTTTGTAGCTTTAAATGTGTTCCAAAACGGGGAACAGGGTCAAGACAGTTTGCTTTCAATAACCTCGCATTGTATTGTATCCTTTGATCCTATTCCAAAAGGGGATATATATTCTCGAGATTGTTTCACAGCCACAGCATTATTATTGCATTATTAATCGATGATTTACTTATCGGCCCTCTTAACGTATTTTTATAAAACCTATTCGAGCATTGCTAGTGAAATGTATACTATAGTATTTCTTAGCATTTCGTTGCCATTTGGAGCCGATATCATAGCATCCCATAGATAACGTACCGCTCGCAGACTCGGATAACAAACAATACAAAAATGCAAAACAATCGTTTGGATCGTCTTCCGACTTTGGGCAGTGCGAAGGGAAGGAAACCAAAACTGAATTCTTTTATATAGAACAATTTTGACTAATCCTCGTACTAATACTTAGCTAAGTGCATGTCTCTATATTTATATAAACTCCAATTATACACTTACCATGGCGAGTTCCGAGGAATGAGATATATATATATATATATATATATATATATACACATATTAAAAACGATCCACTTCACTCTCAACTCCCTAAGCTAATCATGTAACTCTTAGATCTACAAAACGAACGAGAGTTATGGAGGGTAAACCCCATAACACCCCATAAATAATCGATCTTGTAAGTTCCGCTGAGAAAAGTAGAACCCATTCCAGAGCTGTTTTAAGATCTATATACAGGAAATATTACCTATATAGAGCTTTATTGTGTTCAATTTGCTATAGCGGTAGAAGATCCACTATATATATATATACATACATACATATATATGTGTTATGTATGTACAACAATACATCATTATAATTGTTGCCGTTGTGTGTGCGTGTGTGTGTGTGTGTATGCTAATACTTAAGTGTGACTATCCTAAGCTTAACAATAAATCAATCAATGTCTTGCAAATCAAATTTAATTGTTTTAAAGGGTCGAAATACTGAAAATGCTTTTTTCTTGACATACCAAAAATCCTATGCGTTTTGAAATCTCTTTTAAAAAGTGACCCAAAAGTATGCTATAAAATGTTTCTGCATTGAATTTGGCATCTTAATGTTTTTATAGCCTACTTTTAGATGCCTTTTAAAGAGATTTCAGCCCTCGAATACATTATATTAATATTTAACTAGATCAGATTATCGAAAATCTAAACACATTTTTTATGATTATAGGGGTTTTTTTTATCAATCAAATGTTATAATTTTGAAAACAGGATTTCCGCTCTTCGATAAATCTTGAAATCTGTGTTTTGTAAATGAGTTATCCAAGTGAGCTTAGGATAAGAAATATATATATATATATTATGATCTTATGGGATATTTTTAATATAGCGTCTATATATAAAGTTAATAATTAAATAGCCTCTAAAAACCAACCCCTAAATAAATAAAAACAACTTTAATAGGGAACTAACCTCTGTGGAATTCCTAGCCTACTTTTAGTTACAAAAAAAAAATGCATTTAAAATTAAGATCTTAAATTTTAAAGTTCTCCTACAAAAAGATACTTAACTCTCGGGGTGAAGTGAACAATAGCGTCACACTTAAGTTAATCTATAATTTCCCATTACCAATATATATATGAAAGGGAATAACAAACTCGCAACAAATATCCAAGACTTGGGTAATGCACATTTCATATATGTATACATAGTATATTACGTCCCGTTAAGTAAGAGATCGAATCCCTGGTCTTCATAAGTGGTTCCTACGGGGCAGGAACTGAGCCTCCTGTATATCCTGTGGACGCATCCGCTTTTGGTCGTTCGACTGCTGCTGGTGCTTATGGTACTTGTGCTGGCGATGATGATGATGCTCCTGTTTCGGCCCATCGCCTTGTCCCTTGTTCATGGCCAGCAGTCTGATCATGGAGTGGCTGGGATATAGCTTGTCACACTTGTGAATGCTGGGATCAGCATGGGTGCCGGTGTACTCCGCCTCCTGGGAATTTGACAAGCCGGAATCCGGCGATGATACCGGCGATCCTCTGAAAAAAGACTGGGTAAAGGAGTGATAGCTCTTGGCCTTGTATACATTGCCCAGATTGGGCAGCTCGTAGTCATTGCTTTCGTCGCGGGCCAGAAACTCCTGGAGCTGCAAGTGCCTCAGCTTGTCCTGCTCCCGGCGAAAGGACTCGTAGCTCTGTTCGGGATCCGGGATCAGAACTGTTGCACCCGCATCGCCGCTGGCTCCGTCGCCTTGGGCCGCCGCCGCCGCCAGCTCCTCCTTCTTGGGCTTCAGCAGATTAAAGTGATGGCGCAGCCGGCGATGGGTAAGCATGTCCTGATTCTCAACGAGAAATTTCAACAACTGCTCCTTGCACTTGGCCATCTCGGCCTCCAGGTTGGCGATACGTGTGCGATAGCACCAAACTGTGCCGTTTTCCAGCTGCTGGAGTGTGTCTGATCTGCAGGAGTTTTGCTTTTTTTCCGCCTGCACCAGCTCCTTCTGCTCGCTGAGCCTCTGCAGCTTGCGGGTCATCAGCTGCAGGACCATGTCCGTGGTGCCCTTGTTGGAAAGCTGTATGAGACGCTGGCACCGTGCCCCCATATGGGTGCCCATATGCCGCCTTCGCTCCTTGTCCTTTTTGGTGGCCTCCATTCTTACCCGCAGCTCCTCTGGCTCTGTTTTAAGCCGCGCCAGCTGCTTCTCCTCTTTGTGCCGGCGGCGCTTCATCTCCTCGACTGTCGACTCCTGCCGCTGGACCTCAACGACCCTATGCTGACGTGGCTCTAAAGCTGGCCTGGTGTTCTTGCTCAGATGATGGCACTGTGAAGGCTCTTGGGTATACTTTTCCCTGTCCCTGCCTCTGTCTCGATGCCGTTCCCTCTCCCGATCCATATCCCTCTTGTCCTTCTTCTCCTTCTCCCTCTTCTGCTCCAACTGCGTCTCTTCCGTCTTATCCTGCGGCTTCTTCTCCCTCTCCTTCTCCATCTTGCGGAGAATTCGCGTCCGCGCCAACATCCCCTGAAGATCTTTAGGTGAGGCTAGATCACCACCACCCGCCAGCTTATCGCCCCACTTCACCTTCTCCAACTGGTCGGTGTAGGGGGGCAGTCTGGTGTTGAGCAGCGCCTTTACCTGCGCCTCGGCCTTATCATGGAACTGGTTGTGTGTTACCTTCTGCGAATGCCATATGGGAATCTTTGAGCGTGGCGCCGTGGCCGCCATACCGTCCAGTTCCCGGCGCATAGCCATCGCAGCCTCGGCAGTGAGTTTTAGTTTGGCGTCCAACGGAGAAGCCGTTCTTGCTGGCACGGCGGCTACTGGCCGCTTGGGATGCGCTGACGATGATTGATGATTGTGGCTGGTGCGTCCATTTTGTGGCACATCCTTGACATGCGTCTGTTCAGGCGCCGACTGCTTCGGCGAGGATGAGGTCCTCTTCTGCTCGCTCCCTGCCCCTGCCCAGTTTTGGGTTATGTTGCGCTGCACTGTGCTCACGCCCAGATTGAGATCCGTCTTCCTGACCGCCGCCACTGCGGCTGCCGCCATTGTCGCCACCGTTGCCAGTTTGCTTGTCGTCTGGTTGGCACTAAGTGTCCTAAGGGAGGCGGGGGGATGTGGATTGGGATGAGTTGTACAAGTGTTTCATCAGAGGAGCGAAAGGTGTCAATGGGAGAGTGATGGGGATATATGAGATTTGGTTTTCAATAAAGTTTTAATGAACTTTAAAATTGATATGATTAAATATCTATATATTCTTTTTGAGGTAATTTTGTAGTTTTAAATGTTAAAATATTAAATAGAAGATAGAGGTGATACAGCATAAGAGAAAAGATATCTGAATGATCTTTTGTATCCACATAAATATGATTATAATCATATAGGGCATATAAGTACTTAATCTTAACTATTCAAATTCATAATTAGTTGTAATTTTATAATAAAAACTATAAGATTACTTTAAGTTATTACAACTATAATTAAGTTTTGGTTTGGTTTGGTTTGAAAATTATAAGCAGTAACCTACTTATATTTTAAACCCATAAGACACCTCTAACTAAGCTTCTTCCTAAAAAATATTCTTGATAATCTCGTATCTTAAATACTATTAAATCTCATCCTATTGGCTCTGGCGCTGATTGGGGCGACGCGGATGCGGCAATGTCCGATGTCTGGAGCGATGCTGGCGCTCCTTGGACTGTGCCTGTGCCACTACAGCTGAGTCTGTGGAGGTGGAGGCAGATGCGCAGGAGTTGCCCTCCAGCTGCTTGGTGCTGCTCGCTGCTCTGGCAACTGGGACTTTTATGGGGTTGGCAGTGGATGTGGCACGCCGATGCTAGGGACGGCGGTACCTAGAAGAGGGGACGAGCGGCTAGAGAAGCTCCACCAGCCCCGAACCCAGCGAATGGCGAACCCTATATCTCTTACCCAAGCCACACTCTCGCACTCACCTGGTCCGCGAGACGGATCGCGAGGGCTTCTTTGTCGTCGTAGTCGTCGTCGTTGTCGTTGTTGCCGTATCTCGATTGCTTGATGACGAGGTGGTCCTCTCCGAACGTCCACTGCTCCATGACTCGTGGCAAATGGTATCGTACAGATTCGACCGGTACTCGTTGATGTTGTAGCGCACTTCGTCCCTTAGCGGCGGATGCACATCCGATCGGAGCTCCATGTCCGCGGAGGCGGTACGAAAGCGCGTCACATACGGATGCAGCATGGCCGCCTTGGCCGTGAGCCGTCGATGCGGGTCCAGTACCAGGAGGGATTTTAACAGGGACATGGCTTCATCGCTGCAGTGGCGCAGCATGTCCTCCAAGGAGTGGCGACGATCCCGATTGATCTTTTTGCTGAGCAAAACCGTCCCAAAGCTGGCACCAATGGAATCAATGTCCTGCTGGGTCACATCCGGCAGAGCAGACACGATCTTCTCTATCTGTAAGGGGTTTAGGTTTAGGTTGAGGGTTTTCCCCAGAGGCAGTTGGTTGGAGTCTCACTTGGTTGATGGTACTGGTGCCCTGGAATAGCGGCTTTTGTCTGATCATCTCGCCCAGAATGCAGCCCAGACTCCACATATCGATGGCCTTGGTATACCTAGTAGAGTGCTGGTAGAGTTACAAAGCTCCCAGAGAGTATTCCAAGGCCAAGACTCACGTGCGACTGGCCACCAGGATTTCGGGAGCGCGATACCAACGCGTGGCCACATAGTCCGTCAACATGGCTCCATGCTCCAGGTCATCAAAATCGGTGTTACGCTTTTTGTACAGTGTACGGGCCAGGCCGAAATCGGCCACCTTAAGTCTAGGATTGCAAAAGAATCCTTGAGTCTACAGAGACATACATAATTTCGATGGAATCTGAGAGAGCTCACCTGCACTTGCTGTCTATCAGGATGTTGCTCGGCTTCAGGTCCCTGTGGACGACATTGCCCGAGTGCATGTACTTGATGGCATTGACCAGCTGGTACATAATGAACTGCTTGTGTATGTCCTTCAGGATATCGCCCCGCTTAATGACATTGTGCAGGTCGCTTTCCATGAATTCAAAAACCAAATAAAAGTCTAAATTATTGCCGGCCCTGAAAATAGATAGGAGCAGAGTCATAGATGAAGTCACCAGGAAAATAATTTGAAAGTCACAAGGACCCACTTATATACATTCATCAGACGGATTATATTCGGATGGTGGCGAAAGGCGCGCAGGAAGACCACCTCGCGATAGGTGCGCTGGGCATCCGTTTCATCACGGAAGGCATCGAAGATTTTCTTGAGGGCCACCGTGCTCTTCTTTTCCCGTTCGATGGCCTTCCAAACGATGCCATAGGCTCCTTTGCCCAGGCGCTAAAATATATAAAAACTCTTGTAAAAATAAATTGCTGAATTAAAATCCCTTTCACAATGTGCCTAAAAGTATGCAACTATGTTAGGTCTTTCCCCTCAAAAGCAACAATTTGTAGCCTAATTAAAGACTTGATTACAAGTGATTTGAAATTAATTTGATAGATTTTTGTATACAAAAAGATTCCCTGTAATTCTGTACTCACCTTTCTCACATCAAATATCCGCTCCACATCCTGATCCAGCTCATGTATGCGTTGCTCCTCGGCAGTGATCACCGGTTGCGAGGTCATTATTTTTCCAATCGCCAGACCTAGCTTCAGCCGATCCTTGTCCTTAGTCTTGTCTCTAGTCTTGTCCTTATCCTTGGGTCTATGCTTGTCCTTATCCTTGTCTCTATTCTTGTCCTTATCCTTATCCTTGTCTTTGTCTTTGTCCTTATCTTTGTCCTGGCTCGCGTTGTCTCGCTCCTTGTGCTTGTTGTTGTTGTTGTGATTCGGCTCCAGCTTCCGTTGCATCTGCTGCTTATGCTTGTGGAATACCTTCTCGATCACCTGCTTAACGGACAGACCACGATTGCCTACCGCGGAGGAGGACTTGCCGAAATGGGCGACGCCATCACCGGCGAAGACATCACCGGTTTCCTGGACCGGCGCCAATTTGATGGATATGGGACTCTTCCGCCCGACCTAGGCCCTTAATTCAGTCTCCGTGTCGCCTCACTGTAATTGAATGGAAAGGGGACAAGCTGGTTAGTAACTCCTTAGCGGGTGATCACTGTGGCGCGGCAAGAGCCAAGCCAAACCGAGCAGCTGCTGCTGTTGCTGCCCCGAGTGGTTTTGTGGCTCCAAATGGAGGAGCAACTGGCTCCTCGCGTGCCAGCTCTCATATGCAAACGGCATCAAGTATGTAAAATAAAATTAAGCGGCAACTGGGTTGGGGTACACCGAAAAGAAAACTAGTACTGAATTGAAAAGCGAAAGGATTGCAGAGAAAATATATCACAAAAGATTTTATAGCCTACTTTTGGAAAGTTTTTACTTGATTTGAAATCTTTAGAAACGCTCATATCCAGATTTCGGTTTAGTTAAACATTTTTTATAAATGATTTAGTAATTTTAAAATCTGAAACCTGAAGTTATGTATAAATTTAGAAAAGTTTTCATTAGTTTTTAATAATTTCTTAATATTTCCTAGCGATGTATACATATATGCAGTAATATTCTTAAAACAAAGAAGGTTATGTCTAGATCGACTCGTCTGATAATGTTGTTTAGAAATTTAAGTAATTACTTTAAATAGCTACAATTGTCTACCAACATCTTATATACAATATATACATTATAAACCCCCTCTTCCCCAAGAGAACAAAAATTAAAACCGAACTCGTAAACTCCATTAGATTTTTTTCTCTGTGTATGTGCAAAAAATAACGGAAACGGAACAACAGCCGTAACGAGAGCGCACAAATAAAAATCGTGAAATCGGTAAATAAAACCAAACGAATAAATAAATCGCGAGGCGAGGCTTGATTGAAACCGAATTATTGTTAGATCGATCGGGGAGAGAGCTACCGAAAGCGAAAACGAAAACCCCAAATCCAATTGGCCTACGAATACCTACAATGGACCGACCCTCAAGTGCCCAGGGCAACGTCATGTGCCGTGCCTCCCACAAACAGTGGCGGTCGTAATTATAGCAACGAACAATTAATAACTAAAAAATCTCAATGTTTAGAAAAAGTGCATTGTGGAAATGTACTAATTTTAATTTTAAATAAGGAAGAAAATATGAATTTACCTAAATTAATAATAAAAATCTGAGCTTTTCAATTAATAAACAATTTACTTTAAAAGTTTACAAAAAATTATTTATTTTAGTTTAAAAAATTTGTTTTTTTTTTTGTATAATTATTAATAATAAATAATAATTTGTAGTTTTTATTAATATAAAAAAAATTTAAGAAAATAATTGTGTAAGTGAATATTTCTCTAACAAAAAAACAGGACTTACACATAAATCTGTTATACATTTTATATATTTATATAAATATTATATACATATATATTTAATTTATTTATTATAAATATTTAAACTAGGCTAAACTGTCAACAAAAGTGCTAGTATTTTGACCTCAACTGTGCCTACATATTGCCCGCAAAACAATCAAATCAAAGTAGGCGGCATGCAATCCAAGAATCGCCAGCAAAACAATGGCAAATGAATTTGTTTAACAAATAAATAGGCACAAGTACTTCTACATGTGTTTGTATGTGTGTACGTATGCACGAAGCACACAGGACAACAAACAAAAAAATTGATTAAAAAAAAGCCCCTAAACTTTCGTAGATTTCGATATTTCAACTTTTAAGGATGATGTAAATGATCTTCACATAGTTTCAGAGTTCCTAAAATTATAGGACTCATTTAAAAGTGCATGGAAAGGAAGACAGTATTCATTTATACCTGGAAGTCTTCCATGAATTGGAAAGGAAAAATCAGCTCATGGAAAGAAAGACAAGGTTCATTTGTACCTGAAAGTCTTCCATAAATTGGAAAATAAATGAATGCTTATGGTTTGAATATATGTACAAAAAATGGTACATATTTATCTTATTTGAATACCCACACTTACTTGATGTTAGCCAGTGTAAACCCAGAGCAACAACAGCAGTAGACCGATTGAATTTGGCCCAAAAGTTTTCAAGTGGAGCAGCACACGTCACTTACCTGGAAGGGAAGGCGAAAGGATGATGGATGGAGTGCCGGATGGTACACCGGCTCTCTGTTTGGTCTTTTGCTTAAAATATAAACTAAAAAATATATGCATAGAATAGGTAACGCAACAACATGAACTGTAAGGATTAAGAATTAAGGATTATGTATAAAAAGATCAAATGCTATATTAATTAGTAGGACTAACCTGAAAAACTTGATTTGAGTTGTTCCACGAAACACTCCACAAAAACTGAACAAGAACTTAAAACAACCAAAACGAAATCCCTCACTGCTATGCACTCCCAACTATTTAACTTCGATATATCTCCGTTCTATCCGCACACTCACTCACGATTTTTGGATCATGAAGAGATAACACCGGAGATAACCGATCACCTGCTGTGACAGGAAAATTTGAATATTTCACTCGCGGACAAGGCGCGCGACAAATTTTTGCACCGATTTGACTTGAATTGATGAATATAACGACATTGGATGCGTTCCTTTTGAGTGGCAGTTAGCCGACGCTTTCTTCGTCTCCAACTTGGACTTCGGCTTTGGCTCCGATTTTGCAAAAACGTTTTTGGAATAAATATCGAACGGTATACGGGAAAATGTGTTTGTGTCCTTTTTTTTTTAATAATATTTTGGAATCATCAGATCGTGTGTGAAGGTGAAAAATTTCGGACTAGAACTGCCATAAGGCATTGTTTGACTGACGCGTCCAGTCCAGTAAAGGCCACGGCAACTATGTTTTCTTTATTTTTTTTATTTTCTGGTTTTTGGAGCTACTACTACGTTTCCGTTCCGTTTCGATCGAAACTGCACTGCACCAGGACTCTAGGGCTCTCCCCCGTCTAAAATGCCCTTGTGTTCGATAGTTTCCATCGTTTCCAAGTTTATAGAGTTCCTACAGGACTTGTATGGGATCATTCACCCTCGTTTGGATTCACAATCAACTTGGGTAGTGTCCTGAATTTCTTAGGGTTAAATTCAATTCAAATAAAATGTCGAGTCGTATAAAGGAACTATATTTTAGATTTGAAATATCAAATATAATAAACATTATAAATATAAAGGCTGAAGAAAATATAATAATAAATTTCATTACAATTACCTTATACCTGATGGACTGACATGGCCAGATCGACTTGGCTGTTGATACTGATCAAGAATATATATACTAAAACTAAACTAAACTGACTAAGATAATACCCAGCAAGGGTATACATTTGTTTATTCAAGAAACACTGGTTAGTTATCCATTCCCTTTCAAGTGTAAATGATATCCCTGCGCCTGGCTGGCCCATTATGGAGTTTCCCTTTTATGGGCCGGGTTGCTATCAATAAATGCATATTTGATGCTTAGTTTTCAATAACAAACATGGGCGTACCCAACCGTGAAGCCGGCGCATAGCAACCCAACCTCTTCCTTGGCCGGAATGTGTTATCAGGTTGCCCGTGGGAACAGGACACCCGAGCAAGGAGCAAGGAGCAGGAGTCGGAGTCGGAGAAATAAAAACACTGTGGGATTCTCTTGTACAAAAAGGGGATTTCTTGCATGTCAATTTATTGGTTTTGTTTTTGTTTGCTTTTTTTTGTCTACACTCTTAAAAGGATTTGAAACTCTAGGACTTGTGCTGCTGATAGAAGAGCTTCTGCTGGAGCTGCTGCTGTTGCTTCTGGATCTGCTCCAGCTTGAGTTGCTGATGCATCTGCTGGACCTCCTGCTGCTGTTTCAGATTCTGCTGCTGGAGTAACTGCTGATGATGGAGTTTCTGTTTCTGCTGCTGTAGTTCCTGTTGGAGTTTCTGTTGCTGCTGTTGTGGCTGTTGCAGGTGCTGTGGCTGTTGCAGTTGCTGCTGCTTCTGGAGTAGCTGCAGCTGTTGAAGTTGATGCTGCTGAAGTTGCTGTTGCTGCTGATGAAGTTGCTGCTGCTGAACTTGCTGCATTTGCTGCTGTTGAAGTTGCTGTTGCTGCTTATAAAGTTGCTGCTGCTGCTGCTGAAGTTGCTGTTGTTGCTGTTGGAGTGGCTGCTGGATACGCTGGTGCTGCGGCTGGACAGGCTGCTGCTGCACCTGGATAGGCTGCTGCTGCACCTGGATAGGCTGCTGCTGCGGCTGGACAGGCTGCTGCTGCACCTGGATAGGCTGCTGCTGCGGCTGGACAGGCTGCTGCAGCTGGTCAGCCGGCTGCTGCTGGAATTGCTGTTGCTTCTCCTGCATCAGTTTCTGGTTCGCCTGGAGCTGCTGCCGACGGCGCTTCTGCTTTTCAAACTCCGCCAAATGCTCTTGCTGCTTGCGCACCAGCTCATCCATCACCTCATGATTGTAGGTGGAGTGCAGCATTAGTCCCAATAGATTCGCCCGGGATGTTAACTGCTGTCGCAGCATGCGCTCCTGCTCCATCAAATCATCCATCTTGAGCCACTGGCGGACACGCTCCAGATCAATCTCTGCCCGTCGGATCTTCTCCCAGGCATAGTGCTTGAAGCAGTTCTTCTTGGGCGCCCGACAGAACTGACCCGTCGGATTGAAGACATTGTTCACCAGGGGGGCGCCGCAGACATCGGTGTCGCTCACCTTCGGATCCTTGCTGTGCTCCGGACAGAGCACGCGCAGACGCTTGCAATAGGTCTTGCTGGCCGGATTGTAAAAGTCACAGAACATATTGTTGCCCTCCATGCGGGTCTGGAAGATGCTGCCAAAGCTGGCCTGCGACTCGTACTTGTTGAAGCACTTCTCCATGTGCTTGATGGCAGTGCGCGAGTGGATCTCGTGGCCGCAGGTGATGCAGTACATGCTCTGCTCATCCTCCGCATCGCCGGTGTCATGAGGTCCCGGCGTGTCGATGGAGCTACGCTTGGCTCGTTCCACTACCATGTTTAGCTCGTCGCAGCGCTTTTCCAGCTCGGCGAGGGCGAAGCGCACCAGTGCCTGCTTCTGACGGATGCTCTCCAGCTGCTTGCGGGTCTCCTCGGCGGCATGGCACGGCGTCAGATTCCATTCCTGCAGGCGCTGCGGCAGAACCTGGAATAGGCGAATGATTGAGAGCAAAGTCCTATTCAGTTCTCAAGCGGATCGATCTACCTGGAAGATGCGATTGGTGGCCAAGTTCAAGCCGCACTTGTCGCTGCAGTACTTGCTCTGCGGCCGCGCCTGGCAGCAGCAGCCGGGACCGTGGCACTGACGCGTGCCCTCCAGCTCGGGATTGAGGTACACCTCTGGACTGGCGGCCCGCTTTGTGCCGACCTTCGCCTTGCGAGCCTTGGCGGCGGACGCCTTTTCGCGCTTCCTTCCCCCTGTCCCCGACTGAGAGGGGGCAGGCTCGGCGGCGGCGGCCGGCTGGTTGACGCAGGTGCGGTAGATGCAGCGCGGCTTGTGGCCAGCGCGAACCCGGCAGGCATCGCACTGGTTGCAGTTGGGACGCCGGCATCCCTCGCAGGTGCCGCAGCGCCTGCCGGCCTTGGCCTCCCGGGCGCTGCTGCTCTTGCGCTTGAGCGGCGCCGATGGCGGTGGCAACGGAGGTCCTCCGCCACCGGGCGGCGCCCCAGGCGGACCCGAGCCCGAGGCACTCAGGCTGGTTGAAGCGGCATTCGAGGCGGCAGCCCGTTCGGTGGCCACCAAGCGAAAGATGGTCTGCAGCTCGGGATTCTCCCTCTTGCAGCGCCGGCAGTAGTACTGCTTGATGTGCTTGGCCTCCTTCTCGGTGATGCCAATGCAGTCGCCATGATACCACTCCTCGCAGCCATCACAGCCTCTGGAAGCGCACAAGAAAGTGAGTAACGAGGGAGATGGGGTGCCTCCGGGCCATGCTCACATCATAAACCGGGAACAGTCTGAGGTGCGGCAGATGCAGTAGGCCTGGTCCTCCTGCTTGAGTATCGTGGCTATCTTGGACTTGCGCTCCGGCAGATCAAACTCGCGAGCGATTTCCCGCCGGATCTCCTCTTTCTGCGGTTGGACATTAAAGTTACATGCGTGGCGAGTGCGTTTCTGGATAGCTTACGGTTTTCTTGTACTTCTTCTTGTCCGCCATGCCGCGCCAGTGGGGTAGGAGCTCCTACTTGCTTAATTATTTTAAACTAATTAATACACACGTCCAAATCCCAGCAAAATAACAAAAAAAAAAAATTGGGGATGGAATGTGACCGTATTTAGAGACGCGAAAAACGAATTTTTGGTATATTTTAGTAACGAATAGCAGATGTGGTTCGAGTATCGGGTGTGGATTTTTTTTAGGGGGAAATTTCATCTTTTTGAGATTTTTTAGGGCCAAATTTTATAGCTAACCCGTCTAGCTATTTAGCTAGATTTGAGCTTTTTTCGCTCTCTCTGTTATTCTCTCTTCTTCTTTCCTCTCATTTGAACAGAAATTTCTGTTAAAATCCCTCTCAATTTGGGAATTCCATAAGCAAAATTCTGTTGGGCTCTTATTTTAACAGAAAATTCTGTTAAACTCTATTACTCTCATCTGGGTGACCAGAGGTTGTGGTATCGGGTGTGGTTCGAGTGTCAGATGTGGATTTTTTAGGGATTTCCATTTTTTCAGATTTTTTAGGCCCAAATTTTTGTGTGGACGTTTATAAATACGAGTGCAAAGCGCATTCGAAAAAAAATTCAACGAAAAAAAAGTCGCAGCGCGATGTTTGACTGGCGGCTCGTGCAGTTTTTGTTTATTTTTTTTAAGTTCAAATAATACGTACGGCGAATAAGTGCAGAAATATTGATTAAAAGTGTTAACAAATAAGCGACTCGAAAAACAAACGAAGGAGATAACCGACACGAAAGACACGACAAAGCAACGCTGAAAAATGATCGTACAGCCGTAATATATGCCGATTTGTTGGTAGGATCAAAACAAATTCGAGAAGGTGGCAGCAGAAAATGAAAATCAGACATTCAGCTGAATAAAATATGCCGAATAAATGGTGTTTTGCTTGTGTTTGAGCTTGGCATTTCGTTTTTCCTTTTGTTACGGCGTTTCCGCTGATCTTGGCCCGTTGTTGTTTTTACCTTTTTCGCGTTGTTGTAACTCGTTTTTGTGTGAGCGCGCGTGTATGAATCACACAAACACAGGCAAAAACAATAACAACGCGGCGGTGACGGTGAAATATGCTAAAACAAAAAGCAATCTAGATAGCAAAACGCAAAATAAATAACAAGGAAAACCAAAAAGAGAGTTACGAAATAGAGGCATCCTGGAATTTTTGATAGAGCCCAACAGAGCAGCACAGCACACATACTAGAGCACTGTGCGCCAGAGGGGGACAGCAAGAGCGCCGCGCACGTACAGCTGTCAAGTGCGGCGATCCTTTCCGCAGGCACGCAGCCATCCTGCTCGCACTCATGCCGCCACCCTAGACCAACTTTGGATGCAGCTGCCTAACAAACGGAAGACTACAAAAACACAAAGCGGGAGAGCGAGCGAGCGCGAGAGAGGGAGCTAAAGAAGAAGCAGAGGAGGCAAAGGAGATGCAGCATCATGTTGCGGTCGCAACAACAACAACAACAAACACAGCTTACGGCTGTAGGCAGGCGAGCATAAAAAAATAGTTGGAAAATTCGAAAATTTCAAAGAAAATCAAAATAAATCGAGCAATAAACGTAATATAATTTAATCGCGTGTGTTAGTTATGTGCAAAATAGAAAGTGCATTGCAGCGATAAATCTTTAACGAAAATTTAAGTAAAAATCATTAATTAAAAAATACAAATTAACAAAAAGGCCAACCATGAAGGTCACTGTTTGTTTCGGCGACGTTCGCATTCTGGTTCCCTGCGGTTCCGGCGACCTCTTGGTCAGCGATTTGGTCAAGGAGGCAACGCGTCGCTACATCAAGGCAGCAGGAAAGGTAAGATATAACCCTTGATCCTTGATTGTGTGAAGATATTTAATTCAAAAATATATACTTTTAAAAAAAATCCTTGGTCCTTAAAATTTGACATTTGAAAACCGAAGTAGTAGCTGTTGTATAATACGATATTGAAGTTTTAGGGGTTTTCCCTAATACTTTTTATTAATATTTCATATATGTATAAATTTTTTGTAACATTCTCTTTCTGTATATTTAGTCTCTTCTCAAGAAAAGATCTTTCCACTGGAAGCGGTAGACCAAAAACTCAACTCCAGCCCATTTCTCAGGCAGTTCCGTAAACAATTCGTCTTAAGGGCGGAAATGCTGCACTTGAGAGTGATGTAATTACACAGGAAAAATTAAAAAAAAAAAAACGAACCCGAAAACCCAGAATTAAACCGAAAAAAGGTTCTTCAGCGGCGCTTATCGGTTGAATGGGAAGGGGGAATAGGAATGGGAACAAGTCGGGGGATACAGATAAAGCGGAGATGAGGAAAAACAGACACATGTGTGTATGTTATGTACATATGTCTAGGTAAAATATTTGAATAATGATAAGCCAAAAGCTAAAAAAAATGTTAACAAATAAAAGAGTCGAAACTAGCATACCCTGTACACCAAAAACTTATTATAAAAAGGTAGAGTGTGCGGCTAAAAGTGTTTTAATTTCATCGAAAAAATGTATGAATAATGTTTAAAATTGTCAAGTAATTCTTGTCTTTTTATATAATTATTTTCGGTAAAAAAAAAATCGAATAAAAACAGTATACAAATGACGGAGGAAAAAAGAAAACAACCATCGAGCCAAGATGATAACAACAACAAACAAATCGAAGAAGAAATAAGAGAATTCAAGAAGACTCGACTCGAAGAATTATAATAAAAGTCAGCCGAGAATCAAAAGAACATTTTTATTTCTTTTTGAACTCGCTTGAACCCGATTTCAGAGAGAAAGGGGGGGAAAGAGACAAATAGAGGGCGACAGGTAACCAAAAAAAGGGAGAAAAGCGAGAAATGCACTTTACAGAGAGACCTTAATTAATCAGAAATAACATCTGAAATTCGTTGGGGTCTCGGGCTTGGCTCCCCTATATAATTAATCAAAAGGGCAAGACAAAGGTTCCACCGCGATAATCGCCGACTTCCAGAGATTTTCCGGAGAAAATTCTGATTCGAAATCAATTTCGGTGCAAGGGGAATCTTGTTTTTTTGGTAATGATTATGAGTTGTGTGTTTTTCATTGGGTCTTTGGGGCGATTAAGTCATTATGTAGACTGTAGAGTGCCCGGGAATATTGGAACTTCCTATTAGAACTTTGAAAGAACTTCTCTTTGGTGTGAAGTGCTTAAAAAATTCCCACCGAAAGTTATGCAATAACTACAAGTATTTCCCTTTAGAGAAACTCCTTAAAACTAGCATTTAAAAAACTTGAAAGTGAAATATAATATAACATAACTAATATTAAGAACTTGAATAAAATACTCTAAATAATTTTCTGTTTAATAAAAGATATAATCCATCTTTTAAAAGTGCATATATAATATTAATAATATTAAAATATATATATTAACTAAGAACTATGATGAATAATCAAATCCGCCTGCCAATTTTCCAGGCATTTAAGTGCCTTATTGTAGTGTTTAATGAAAGAAAATGCTGCACTAATTAGGAGTTTTCCCAAACCGTAAAAAGTCCAAAACAGCAGGCTGTTCCTCTCACCTGAAAAATTGCCACAGTGGTCTTGAATTTCCGGTGTGGCTCTTGGTATCCCCAGAGGAGGAGATCGCGGCTTGAATATGGTAGAAGGGGCCTGTGGTGCCTGATCTGTTGCAACGTGTGTGAATTTTCGTTTGCTTTCATTGTCTGGCCAAAAGACGAAACTGTGTCAGATGCAATTAAATGCAAAAAAAAAAAGAAAGAAAAAGGTGGAAAAGCAGATCAGAGGGGTTAAGAAGCGGCCAAGATAAGACGCTTTCCATTTCGCGATCACGTGCGCCGGTCGATTCCAGACCCCAAAACCCCGAACGATCCAACTTGCTAATTATGCAATTTAAGGCTTTCTTATACGAATATAATTAGGGCCAAGAAGTTGGCAAAAAGCAACCTTAAGCATATCTATTTTAAAAGGAATGGCATTACAGGAAGTCCTTTTATCCCTTCAGGAATGTCTTGAAGTTTAAAATTTTAAAAACTTCTCCATGTTCACACTTCTATTGTTATTTTCTCAAGTATATTTTTGCAAGATCAGCGAAATCAAATGACACTTGCATATATACTATGAAGCTGCACTTTGAATTCTTCTGGCACATGAAATAAAATTGTATTTTTTATTAATTTCCACGATTCCGTTTCCATTTGCAGCTGTGCGATCGTTGCTTTGTTTTGTTTTCGGTTTTTTTTTCTTTTCGCATTTTCGCTTTTAGGTTCTTTATCTTTTTGGGACCAACATGTGCAAGCTCAACTGTGTGAAGTGCAGAGGAGAACGAGAATAGGAAGAAGAGGTGAAAATATAGTCTGTTACCAAGTGACCTAGTGCAATTCGAAGATATGTAAATGTACTTTATAACATTGAAATATTTGCCATGTGAGATAATCGCACTTCAGTCCCAATGTTCTTCTCTAACTCTGCTTCTTTTAGAGGGATTAAAAAAAAAATTGGTATTGGTAGCTAATAAACTGAGAAAAACCATATTAAATAACAATAATCCCTTTTACATCAGTACAAAATTTAATACAAATTTTTCTACGTAAAAGATATGAGGAAAAAATATTAAAAATATCTAGACCATATGGGTGAATAAATGTTAAAATTAAAAAAGGAAATATGTATTATCCTGTCAAGTTTAACATTTTAAAAGTGTGATAATCGCAAAACTGCTACAATGTTCTCTTGTAACTCGGGTTCTTCCAAAGGGAATCAAGAGAAATTTGATAAATTTAACTAATAACATAAGCAAAACTAGATTATACAAAAAGACAGTAGCTTAAAATGTATAACAAATGTTTTCAACGTTAATTTTTGAAGAATAAATAAAAAACCACTTAGGTATAAACTTTGATGTACATAAATTTCAACATTTGTCTTTGCAAAGCACAAAAGTTGCTCAGAAACTCTAAAATTGTTCAAGTTATTAACTTGAAACTTTGCAAGCCTACAAACAGCTGCAAAATATTACTAGAAAAGAACAAAATTAAAACTAAAGACTTGTTTGTTTACAAGTGCTGTGCGCGGTGGCACACCTGAACTTGTTGGCGTTTTTCGGAACCAGCCCTATTCCGAGAACTTGATTCTTTTCTCATGTGGCAAAAAATAAAGAATAAACAAACTCGCATTTGGTGTTAACTTCAGTTTAAACTTTAAGGCAATACGATTCCTTTGCTGTTAAAGTTTGGTATTGCAAATAAAGCTTGCTATTGAAAAGGAGGAGTTCAAAAACATCCAGTAACTTGAAGAGTATCTGGTGTTAAACAAACATTATATAGGGGGAAAGGTCTCAATAACCTTGAGTAACTGGAAAAATATTTAATCATAGCTTTTATATAAGAGTATTATTTTTGCAGTGCCAGAAGTGCAACCATATGGTGAATATGGTAAAGTTAAAGAGGTTCTATGTGTTAAATTATGAAATACTACTCTCATAAAGAAATAGTTTTACGTTTCGGTTTCGTGGTAAAAGCCATGCGTTAACCGCTTTCCTTTGTTCAAACTCGACTTTAGTGGGCGTTACGTCTTATCAAATAAAGCGAAAATTATGGCGAGGGGTATGACTTGTCTTTGCTCATTTGTTTATTTATTGTATGCCTGGGAAACCAGGGAGATATGGGGTAAAAAAATATATATATATAAATATATTTGTATGTATGTATGGATATAAAACGAAGCCGAGCTGAACAAAAAAATTCATTGAGCATTTTTCTTCTCGCTGCTGCTGAATTCTTGGCATTAAGTTGGCAAACAACAACAGAGCCACAAAATGCGGCGGCTGAAAAAAAAAACTCAGACGGAGAAACCAGTTTTGCACAATTTGTAAATTATTTAGTCATAAAAAGAAATATCCAGCTTGCTTCTCTCTACATATCTTCCTCTTTCTCGGTGGCATTCTCGCCTTGCTGTTTTCTCTCTCTCTCTCCCTGTTTCTCTGCCTCTCTTTCTTTTGCTGTTAAATTTTTGATTTTTCTACTCACGCTAATTGTTAGCATTATTTTTGTTATTTTTAAGTGAGCTCTAATTGGTTTAAGTCAATAATTACAATGAAAACATGGCTAGCACACCATGGCTGGTCGTGTGTCTGGAGATTGCAAAAGCATTGGAATTTATTGGAATGTTGGTGTCATGCTTTGGCACTGGGAAATAATCGATAAAGCCGAGACCAGCAAAACACCTTGACCAATTTTTTACAGTTTTCCCGAAGTTTTGTTAGAATTTTGACACAAAAGTGGCGGCTTTAATGGGGTCAAAAAATGCTTCAAAATACGCTAAACGTTTGAATAAAGAAATATTTAAATAATTGGACATTTTAAAACAAAATATAACCACAAAAAATAATCAAAATACTACTTAAAGATCAACTACACAAAATACTTCAGAATACTACGAAACTCTTAAAAAAAAAACTATTACCTAAAATGTTTATAAAATCTAAAAAAATGTAAACAGTTTTTGTAATAATTTAAAAAATATAATAAAATCATACCACAAAGGACAGTATAACACAAATACTACAAAATCTTAATAAAATTCTAAAATTAAAAAAAATATATATTTCGGATATAAATAAATATTTCATAATTACAAAATATACATACAAAAATTATACATTTATTATTTATATAAAGTTCTACATAGTTTTTTCATACTTTTTTTATACTTTCCTTTATTTTTATCTCTTGGACTGCCACCCGCGATCTTTGAATTCCTTCCCTTGAACAAAACAGATAAAAAAGTATATTTGCAGCTGTTGTCGTTGTCGGAAAGAGAAAAACGAGAAAATACAAGC